AGCCCACAGACTGGCCCCATGACACATTTGGCCTTTAGGGTTAGTGGGAAAGAAAGTTGTGGACACATTCATGGTATCCTTTCCTAGGGCATGTTTGCTTGGCATAGGTGCCTCACTTCTGCTGCTGCCTGGAAGCAGGAAGATAAAGGCAACAGCAAGACTAATGCGGAGGTGGCACCACATCCCTCAGGCTGGAAGCTTGCACATAGCCTTTGCACAGACCTGGAAGTTCCTGGTGTGCTTCTCCCCACTTCCCATCTTTCTGCAGGCAGACATGCCTCAGCTGCCAGCCAGCACCCATACAGACCATCTGTGTCACTCCACTTTGGGGTGGAGTCCACTGGCTTGGTGGGTTCACAGGTGTGAACCACTAGGCACTGTGGAGTGGCACAGATGCTTGTCCCATGTGTCGTCTGGCCGTGGGCTGGGTGGGTTGCCAACCTCCTGTTCAGCTGCTGAATTTAGCTGACCCCCTTCCTAGACACACAGGCTGAATTGTCACCCAACAGCTGTGGTCAGCTGTTCTCCCTTAAATGCTGAAGCACTGAACTTGTTAACCATTCCTGTGGGATCCCTTCGTGCTGTTCATATGTGCGGGACAGATTTCGTATCTGTGCTGTTCTTGCCAGATTAGGGACTAACATGTTTTAAAAGAGTTTTTTTATATGTTTGATGCAAAGAAAAGCCATTTTAGTGAGGGCTTCTGGGGTGAGGCTCTAGTCTGCCTGATTTATTGAGCTAGTAAAATTATTTTTGGTCTCAGCATGAAGCTGTGTCCTGTCCCCCATGCCTCCCCCCTCCCGACTCAGAGAAGTATCTTGCAAGGGAGGAGTTTTTCTCAGTGAGCTGCATTGATGAGATGTGTAATGGAAATGATCTGTTTGTAAGCAACCTACCGGTAGCGTCCAGAGAACTGAGAGTATGACGTTGGTGAGCCACCTGCTCCTTGGGGGTGTAAGCCAATTTCTGTTCTGTTACAGAGCTGGCTTCGTGATCTTTGGGAAGAGCCAGAGCAATTCATTATTTAAACACTAAAGCAGCTTCTTTCTCCCATCCATCATTCAGCTGGTTGTTAACCCAGAGCTGTAGATGAACAGGAGCAGTCTTCATATTACCGAGCTTTAGACTGGACTATGAAATGCAGGGACAGAAGCATTGTGACTGATGGCAGCAGGCCCAAACTTGCCTCTTAGTTGTGCTGAAAGGCACACCTCCATGACGGATGCTTTGCATGACAGAAGCCAGGGAAGTAGAAATATCAGGACCACTCAGCCCAGCTACGTCCTGCTGTTCAGTTGTGTGTCTTAAGTGTCAGACAAACATGCACTCAAGCTAGGATCATCTTTTTAGTGCAGTGACATCTGTTGATGAAGAACGATCATCCAAAATTGAAGGGCCCATCTGCAGCTGTCCAAGGGCTCTCTGTTACCATATGGCTGCTCAGACCTGAGGATAACATGCTCTCACAGTGTAGACAAGACCTCAGTGATATTTTGTGCTCCAGCCGCAGCCCTGATGCACAGAGGGACAATGCTAGAGGGTCCCGAGGGCTGGCATTGCTTGACAAATGGTGAAATACTGCACAGGAGTAGCCACACTGTCAAAGGTCTGTGACTGCCAGAAAAATGGAGTTGCCAAGTGCATAGAGTACTGTCACTTCTACATCTGCATGAGGCTTGTGCAGTGTGGAAACCTGGTGGCCTAGCTGTCCTTTCTGCTCTTTTTTGGGATTATTTTCGTGGCAGTGGAGTCTCCCTTGGGCTACTGCTTTCCACCTGCAGCAGCATTTCCTGTGTCCCTGAGATCTGACTTGTCGGATGCATCACGTTTAGAGGTGCCCGTTTGAAAGTGCTGGATTCCCTAGGCAGCAGTCTATAAACAGTGCATCAGCTGATCCATAACACGTGATACAAAATCACCAGGCTGCACAAAGACCTGGTTCCCCACATCCTCTGAATGGTAATGACACTGCAAACAGCGGATTATGGCTTCAGGCTGGAACAAAGAAGCAGAAGAAGCAAGAATGATCCTGTTCCTGGGGATTAAAAGGCAAGGCGAAGGTAGGTGGTGTGAAACCTCATGTCCGAGACACTTAGTACTAGATCTGCGGGGTAGTGGTGGCAGTGCCTGGTCAGAGGCTTTCAGGCATGTGGCGATTCTGCTTGTTCTCGTGTTCTCCTGCCCCAAGCAAGGGACTTGCCAGACCCTTGTCTGCTCCGGCTATTCGAGTGGAGAGGGGCTGGAAGTGACAGTGGTGCTGAAGTGTCATGCAGTAGCAAGGCTCGAAGGTGGGCTCTCCTCACCACCATTGTGTCCCCTTTGTTAAGTAAGAGAGGGGCACTGATTCTCCTCGAGCTGATCCAGGGAGCCATCTATTCACACAAGGTAAAATGGCATCAGAAACAAGCCTGCCGCGAGCGGGGAGGGGGCTGGATTAAATGACCTCACGAGGTCCCTTCCAGATCTACTTTCCTACGAGCTGATATGTCTGTACCCCAGGAAGTAGCTCCCAGTTCCCTATACGAAGTAACCCTTGGAAGCACCCCTGCTAAATGCGCTCTCCAAGATGAACCGCACAACTACTGCAAGATTTAAAAGGATCAGATGAGGGAGAAGAGACAGGGCAGGGCTGGATGGGACCAGTTTTATAGCTTTTGTTTAGCAGCATACACAGCACTGTTCCCATTCAGGAACCTCTTGTGCTTACTCGTGGCACTGCTTGTGCTTGCGCTTACTCGTGGTATCTGTTACGCTGCCTGTGGGATGTCTCAGCAGCACTCGGCTGGCTCGTGGGATTGACGTGCGTATGGAAGGCCTGTTCCTCTAGCTCTGCAATCTGCGGGTGTCAGTGTTTTGAGCTCTGCTCTCATAGTGACAGCCATTCAATTAGGATCTGGGGTGGCTGTGACGGCCAGAACGACGGTAGGTCTGTGCCCACCTGTTCTGCTGCTCCAGATTCTCCAAGGAGCTGCGGAGAGTCGCTTGTGTCGGTGATGCGAATGTTTTCCCTTTTGGCCAATGAAGGGCCCCCCGGCCTGGGGGAATCTCACACACACTGAGAGGAGACGGCGAGCTCTTCCCACACGCTCCTGTCCCTTTTGAATCATTTTGGTTTATCTTCCTTGCTCCATACTGCATTTCAAGCCTACTGGAAGGGCTTGAATCTCAAACCATCCTTTTCTTTGGAGCCAAATTTAGCTGAGCATGTTTTGAAATCCCAGCTCTTCTGTTGACATTGGCTGCAAGCTCAGAAATTAAATGTAACCCTGATGCTTTAAAACTCAGCTTTGAAATCTGGGATGCCCTCCTGGTGCTGAGCTTCTTCTTCCCCACATGCCTCCTCTTGGACCGTGCTGCGTGCAGCTACCATGAGTTTTGTGCACCAGCTCAGTGGGCCTCTTGCAGTCTCTGTCCCAACTAGCCATACTTGCTGTCTCTTGATTTTGCAGGGCAGGATGCATTTGTTTAGCAAATGCTTGCTGCAGAAATGGTGTGCAGGATTCAAATCCCTCGTTAAAGCAGCGTCAGCAGCCTCTCCTCTGAACATTTGCTTTTTTTCATGCCTGCAATTACCAAGTGGTTTATTTTACTGTTCAGATTGGCTTCCTGGAGGTCCTCATCCCCTGTCAGCTGGAGGTTTGCTTCCATAGCTTTTGTGGCAGAAGATTGGGTTTTGGCAGACAGCAGAAGAGCTCTGACATGGCCTGCAAAACTTCTGCAGATCTCCAAATGCAGCCCAGCAAGATTTTAAACCAGTTCTCTTCTTTCTGTTTCTTGTCTGCTGAGCTTGAGCCACTGTGCACTTTGCATGTCAACTTCTCAAGGAGCAGTGGAACAGAACAAGGAGCAATGGTCTCCATTACAGCAAGGGAAGTTTAAGTTGGATATTAGGAAGAACTTTCTCACTAGAAGGGTAGTAAAACCCTGGAACAGGTTACCCAGGGAGGTTGTGGATGCTCCATCCTTGGAGGTTTTTCAGACTTGGCTAGACAAAGCTTTGGCTGGGATTGATATAGTTGGTGCTGGCCCTGCTTTGAGCAGGGGGTTGAACTAGATGTGACCTCCTGAGGCTTCTCTCCACCCTCATTTTCGATGATTCTCTTACACCTCTTCAACTAGTTTTAAATTAGGTTACATACATAAGAATTCATCTCCAACATTTAATTAACCTTCCAACCAACCCTTTATATTCAGGTAGTGTGTAGCTTTCTTTCCAAGCGGGCTGTTCATAAGCATGTGCATTTGTGGAAGCAGTGGTGCCAGGGAAATTGAAGACAGCCATAGGATCTGTTATCATTGGAATACCTACGAAGCAAAAATGGAAAGAGAGAGATGTCCTGTATGTGAATGCACTTCCATGGGAAGAATATCCTACGTGCTCATTACCCAGTGCTTCATGTGGCTGGTTCGAAGATAGGAGCTATCTGATTTGTGGTAGGGATGTTTTTTTTAAATATCTTTTATATGTATATTGTGTGTGTGTGTGTGTGTGTGTGTGTTCTAACTTGTGTTCAAGTCATCTCTGATTTCTTTTCCTTTTCCCTCCACCTAGTAAAGGGGAATATGCCATGCAGATGGTTAGAGTTGCTGGCAAATCCAAATGTCCTCTTCTAAGTGCATCACCACAGTGCAGCTGGGCACACTGCAAAGCCTTCTTTGGCAGTATGTCCTCCGTCATGCTGTGCTCCTCCTCATGCCTCGCTACAGCTTCTGAGCAGAGGTCTCTGTGCAGCATTGAGCTGAGTGATGAGTCCTTTCTGCGGAGTTGGGGAAAACTTGTCTGTCTCAGACATGTGAGAGGAACGCACTGACGGGACTCCAGCGCTTTAGAGAGGACGTGGCCTTAGGCACTGAAAAGTGGATGAGTTTCTAGCCTGAATGAAGACAGAACTAAGGCCTTAGCCTCATGCCCTCAGCTGACCCAGTTTGCTTGAGTTGCAAGCACTGCTTACTTGAGAGAAGCAGAATGAGAGAAAGGTTAGCAAATGAGCAGGATGAGAGAAAGGTTAGCAAAACACCCAAGCAAGAGCCTGGGCTAGTGCTGCAGTGAAGACATGCCCCGCGTTGTTGCCAGCGTCGGGCCCAGGATAGTGAAATGTTCTGATTGCTTTTCCTTTTGAACTTGGCCCTTGTGACGCACATGCTCGAGGGCTGGGTTCTTTCAACCAGCTCCCTGGAAACTTCCCCCCCCCCTGGCCCGGCCCGAGTTGGCAGGATGTAGTTTATTTTGAGCCTGTTAGAGCCATTGAGTCTGAACTCAGCCATTTCCCCTTGCCAGGAACTGTCTTGCACAGTTAAACTGTGTGATGTTAGTACTGATGAAAGGGACTTCACACTCATCTCCAGGGCAGGTGGCGGCCTGTCGGAAGTGAAGCTGGCCGTTAGAAGGTGTCTAGCCGTTGCTGCGCTGGCTCCAGTAAGAGGAGTGGGGTGGGCAAACAGTGTCCTGTTTTCTGATGGGGCTTGACTAAGACTCGGCTGCCTGCAACCCCAGGGGCTGGACTTGAAGACCCAGGAGGTTCCTTCCAGTTTGGCGTTCCTAGAGCCAGTTGCCTCGCGTTCCTCCAGCCATCCCCCTTTGCCCCAGCTTACTGGGACCCTGTTGAGGGGCAAATGAGGTATTCAGTCTGCTGGTTTCTTTCTCTCTCTCTCTCCAAGCAGCCAATTCCTGCCAGTTGTGACGTGGGCAGCTGCTGAGTAGGAAGCATCCAGAAGCACTGCTGACACTCCCTTGCTTCATGTGTGCCAAAAAGTGTTTGCATTCACTTACACATTCCCACTGTCTGTGACTTTTTTTTTTTCTTCCTGTCCCTGTCTCTTGAGTGAACAGCACCAAGTAATCTCAACTGACTGCCTTTCAGAGAGCCTGTCTGCTAGCTGCCCAGGATGCCTTCATGTCCCCTCCTTGCCTAGTACGCAGTGGTGATTGCCAGGGCAAAAAGGCTTCCTCTCTTGGTTTTCTCGTCACACTGACTCCATGCTGTCCCCATGCTGAGTCTGGAGCAGTGACTCCTCTGTCTGCATGTGCAGAGATGTGCAGGGGGGCTGTTGGTATCCTTTTGTTGCTTCCCTTTGCCATGGTAAGCAGGCCTTGTGTACATACCCACAAATCACAATTATGTAGGCAGCTGCCTTTTAAAATGCAGATTTCTGGTTTTGATAGGCTGTTTCGTGGTGCTGATGAATTTAGCCTCTCATGGCTATTACAGTGAGTGACAAGAAGGGCACCTGGGAGGTGAAGTTGCACTGTCCTCGTGTTATAGAGTGGAAACTGAGGTACCAGAATACTGTGGAACTTGCCCAAGGTTGCACAGGCAGTCTGTGGCAGAGTTGAATACCAAAACCTAGGCGCAGAGTTGCAAGTCAAGCCCCACCTCCCTGCCCCCTCCCCATCATGAGAGTGCTTTTAAATAAAGGGGGAAAGCCCACAAGATTTTTTTTTAAACGATGCAGTTGGGTTCTGCCCCGTTGCCTTCTGGAGGCTGAACCCAGAGGGTTGTATTGTCAAACTTTTGTCAGCTGCAGTCAGAAATGGGCTTCTCGGATAATCACGGTACTCGACTGCAGCGCTCAGCTGAATACTGAACTTGGCATAAAATCCCAAGTTAGCAATGCTGCGGGTCAGGGGGCCCGTCCATTGCATAACCCGCAAGACCATTCGACTTTGTCGCCATGCATTTTTATCTGTAGCGGAGACCAGCTCTGGAATTCATCTCCTGCAGCCTGTTCAAATGACAAGCGAGCTCTTTTTCAAATGGCGCGTGCAGCAATGTGAGGTCTTGTGGGAGTTTTGTGATTGTGCGCACAGTCCTGCTCGCTTTGCATTTCGTTAACCCCCTCACGGCCTCATTGCCAGGGCCTGAGAGTGCTGCTGTGATAATTGCATGCTAAGTGGGTACATAAACCGATGCGTGTTTGTATGCCCTTTTTGGAAATGTAGACCATAAAATACCAGTGTTGAAAATCCCTAAGCAGGACGTGAAGCCAACTGCTATTTCCCAGTTTCTGCCTGCCCAGTTCTCCCTTCCTTTGCTCCGGTCGGTCAGGTTTGTTAATACTGAGCTTTTCGTTCTGTGGGAGGGTGGGCAGCGAGGAGGTTCCAGCCTGCTGAGTTTTCTGGCCAAGTGTGATGTGTGCTGAAATGCAGGCCAACCTCATTATACCAAAAACTGGCTTTTAACAGGCCCATCAGCAGGAACTGATTTCTTTTCTTTTTAATTAGGATGATGCTTCAGATGGACTAACCTCATTGTAGTGAACACTCTTCTAACAAGATTTTCTCCCCATCCCATAACTAGCTCAGACCCTGCTAGTAGTGCAGTTGCTGCTGCCTGGTGCCCAGCACACCCAAGAAGCTGAGTAATCCCTAGGTAGTTAGCGTGCCCAGAGTCCTATGCTGGTGCAGGCCTTTGGCAAGCAGTGAGCTACCTGACTGAAAGAGCAGTGTATGCCCTCTGACTTGCATTGGATGATGCTCCTTCTAAGCTTCATCGACAGCCAGCTGTGATTCCTTTTCCTTGCCCCTTCCCCTGTGTCTGCTAGTGCCTGTTGGATAAAGCTTGCAAGTGCCATGGGGCACAGGCTGCTCACACGTGGCAAGGCGCAGACAGACCCTTTTTTCATCCGCCTTCTGCCTGTGCAAATCGGGCCCTTTCTTCTGCCTTGTTTGGCTGGGGAGGCTGCCAGACCCCCCTGGGCAGAAGTGCATTGCCTCTTCCAAGGGTTCCCTCTCATCAGCCCTTGGGAGCGGAGCATGGCAGGCCAATTTTTTGGGTGGGTGACAGCACACTGTGTCCCTGTTACCATGGCACTGGCCTAGCACAGACCCTGGTTAGCGTCCCTGCTGGTTTTGGACTCTTGTCGGTCCTTGGAATAGGCGGGAACTTCGTGGCTCTTGCAACCCCAGAGATCCACTTGCTCTCCCCAGCCCAAGGGCAAGGTGCTCCTCCACTGCTACCGAAGCTACTGTGTGGGATCACAGGTGTGGAGACCCGAGTTACCTGGCGAGCTGCTGTGACCCTGTCAGCACAAACAAGTACAAGTTGAGCTGTCCTTTGTGTTGCATTGTATGTCGCATGGGTTAGTCCAGGATTAATCCTGCTCAGGCTGAATGATCACAATGGGGCTTGGCAGTAAAGGCCAGTTTGTCTTCCTGAGGGCATTTAGCAGTTGAGCCACAGTGAAGCTAAATTGCCTCCCAATTCCCAGTGAAGAACCATGCCTGGACTGTTCTGTTTTCTTGCCCGCTGTTCCTAGCTGTCCTGTTCTCCATAGCTCTAATTCAGCATCTCTTTCCTTATCACCTCTGCAGTCCCTTTTTGTCACCTGTGTTTGCCTAGATTTTTCATAATCCTCCATGGCATTGATTTCCCTCCTGCAGCTGGGGACCCAACTCTAAGGCAGTATCTAATTGCAGGCTGTTCAAAGAGGAAGTGTCACCTCTCTGGCCTCTCAGGTGATAACCTTCTGAGCGTGGCAGCAGGAGCGTGTTTACTTTTGGTTTTGTAACAGCAGCAGCTGCACATAGGTTTCTGATAAGCCTGTCTGATAAGCCAGGGTTAAAGCAAATAACTAGCATGATGGAGGGGCTGCTGGCTGTGGCAGGGAGGGCAGGGCAAAGAGAAAGGATCTTTGGAAATAATGTTTCCACGCTCAGGAAATAGCAGCCTGCTTAGCTTTTGCATGCAGCCTGAAGCGATAGAGGGGCATTGGTATTGCTGGTAGTGAGGGTGGCTTATAGGTTGGTCAGAGCTGGATGGCAAACTCATTTCTCCTCTATAAGCAGAGATAAGGCCATTGCTCAGAGTCACGGTTGCCTCAGCCCTAACTCAGGACAGCCAGAGTGTCCCATGGTTCCCAAATGGATGTGCGTGTTCAGCCCCTGTCACTTCAATAAAATACCAAAAATGAAACCAGATAGGCAGTGTGGAGGGTGGGGGAAGCGCAGCCTTCCCCCCCCGTGAACAGGGAATCGACAGCTGCAATCAGCCTTGAACAGAAACAGAGGAGCCACATGCAGCTCCCGCAGGCAAAAAAGACCCCAGTTGTCTCTGGAGCTTCAGGGGCCGCTCCTCTATTTCCTGTTGGATGCCACTTCTGCCTGCTGCCAGCCGGGCACGCGGTCTCCACCCTGCTCCCATCCAAAGCAAGGTTCCTGATATAATCTCTGTTGTCCTGAGCTCTCGGTACCTTTTGGCATCACAAAGCCCATCCCTCAGCAAGCAGTTGTGCCCATTTGAGCAATTGCAGAACAGCCTATGATGCAGTCCCCTCTAATGACTGCATCCCATTCCTGCTACTAGTTTTTACCACAAGCCAGCAAGGAGAGAGACTTTGCAGCACACCAGCTGGCTGCAAGCGTAGAACAAGTCCATGGTTTGGCTCTGGCAGAGCAAAATACAGTCGCTGCCAATGGACCTGGTTCAAAACCTCTGAAAATCTCCCAGTGCAAATGGGATTTGAATGCAGTGGTATTTAAGGCCTCTCCCAGATGACTCTTGCCTCCCAGCAGCTCCCTTCCTCCACCCCTAGAGTCCTGACAAACTTCCTTTTCGTCCTGTCTGTCTGCAGCACAAAGCCAATGCATGAAAAAGCAGCTTCCCTGAAGAGCTCCCAGCCCATGCACAATCGGGAGAAGCTGGAGGCGTCTCATAAAGAGAAGAGCCTGGATTCCCTGGATGGCAGGTCAGCTCTCAAATCGGTTGGCTCAATTAGATCTGGTCACAGATGGAAATCTGGAATCATTTCAGCTGCGGTCAGCTGACTGTGCACAGGGAGTTTCACTTTAAGGACTGGTGTTGGACAGCTTCCCACCAGATGCGTGGGACCTCTCGCATACACAGTGCAGTGTGTTTCAGCCAGTGCATTGCTGACCACATAACCTCTCTCTGGCTATGTTCTCTGTTTTGTGCTCCCACAGACCCTGGGCATGGTCTGCGGTGTCCCTGCCACGTTACAGCAGCATTAACAAGCTCAGAACAGCAGCCTTGTTATGAACCCTTGGGACCAGCTGGGCTGGGTATATCGATTGCTGCAGTGACGGCTTTCTGGCAGCCTTCTGAATTTGAGTAGGGCTTTCTAATCATGCTCTTTGCAGGAGTCTAGTGTCTGATATGCTGGAGATCGGCGAAAGGCTGAGAGACTATGCTGATCTAGGCTGGGCCTGAGGTTTCCTGTCATGTTTGTCCTCTTTTGTGTGCCTGTTGCCAGTGAAAACCCCTCTGCCCCTTGAGTCAGAAATGAAGCTCAGCAGGTAGGAAGTCCCTGGAGGAATTTCATGAGAGAATCCCAATCACTAGGATGGGATACTAGATGGACAAAGTAGGTGAGGGTTTCCTTTAGCTCCGGCCCTGGATCCCAGCAGCATCCAGACTTTTTTCATTGTCGGCAGACTCCAAAGCAAGATGAACCTAAAGAAGTCTGTTCCTTCAGACGTAATGGTCCATCTGCTCTGAAATCCTGTCTCTGACAGTGGCAAATGCCAGGTGGTTCATGGGTGTAGGTGGTTCATGCTCATTTCCTACTGTAATGCCTTTTAAATAGCCACTAATAAACAGCAGGGGGAAAGGTACATCTCCACTGCCATCAAGCGTATGACTGCAGCTTGTATAGTTAGATCTGAGCTAACTTGGGTACCAGTAGCAGTGTAACCACAGCAGCTCAGAGCTCAGCCGCCCTATGCTGGGGGTACCTCTCTTGTATGTGCTTTGTAGGGCTGGTGGGCTTTTCACCTGACTAGATTCTCTTTCTTGCAGTCTGCATCTGAATGAAGGTCTGAAGGATGAGGAAGTGAAGAAATGCCACAGAGAAGTGGTGAGTCAGTTTGGGGAAAGCAGGGGAGGAATGTTTGCTATATCTGAACTTCCCACTGCCCACAGTGGGCTGCGACATGCAGATTGGAGGTTACTACCTCACTGCCAATGGGGTCATTGGGGATCTCTGCCTTAATGCTGAGCAAATGTATCTGTGTCTGACGGACTGAAAACTTCTGGGGTTTGATTACTAGACAGTATCTCCCTATGTGCCTAAGTCATGCAAGTAGCAGCATCTGAGTCCAGTCCTCCTAGGTCCTCTGCAGATCTACCCAGAACAGTTTCGGTATTAACTCTTTGTGCTTCCTGTCAGTCGGTACCAATTTAAGTGCCATTTTTCCTGTTGGTTGACAAAGTCAAGTGGTGATAAAATGGCACTAAACCAGAGATAAGGGACCTGGGCTCAAAGGGCAGTGAGAACAGGCGTGCAGAAGAGAATATATCTCACACTTTGCTCTGAGAGGATAATATCCTGCTTTGTTAAGAGTCCAGCCAGTCCAGACACCCCTTGGCTTCGCTTTCTGATCAGAAAACGTGTGTGATGGTGCCTGCAGCACAGTGCACATATGAACTCAGAGCTGTGCTTTTTGAGGCAGCCCTGTTGATTCACCGTAGTCTTGTCTCTCTTTTCCCCACCTCGCAGCACAATAGGGTTAAATATGAAGATCCTTGTCTGCTCTTTTCCCTGGTAAACTGAATGACCAAATTCCTGGATGTACTTATCTCAGTTCCAGTTAGGAAACTTTGCTTTTAAAAACTTGCTTATTGGGTCTGAAGTGTCAGTGGAGAGAAAAAGTACATGGCCAAGGCTGAGATGCCGCACAGTACAGGAGGAATACCAGTTGAAACCGTATTGCAATACAGCACACCAAATAAACCAGATTGTGCTAGGCAGCCTGATAACGTGTGAAGCTGTGAGCAGGAACTCTGTTTGTAAGGTCACTGTGAGCAAACAACGCTCTCAACCCTACAGTTCACCCTTTCTGTGGGTCACGGGGGAGGAGAGATGGAATAAGGGAAGGGAGGTGGTAGGGGAAGGGGCAAAGCTGTTGCTAAATTGCCTGTATCTCTGTCAGGGTTCAGGCCTCTGTAGTAGGGTGTGGTAGGAAACTCCAGGAGTCTGTATTTATGTGAGACATGAGCTCTCTATAGGGTCATTGATACCCTCTGTGCACAAGAAAGGCTTTTAAATGGGGCTTCTGTCAAGAGGTTGTGTTCAGGCGAGGTCCCGGACGGAGGTGTTCCAGCCAATCAGGCCAACAACAGAGCATCCCAGTCCCAGATGGAGGAAACTTGGAGTGAGTGTTACAGCTTAATGAGATCATTACCTTGCTGTTCACAGCTTGTCAAAATTGTCAAACCTGGAGACGTGCCCAGGGCACGTGGCAGAAGGAGCCTTGTGACACCTTATCTCTCTGGGTTCCTGGAGGCTGAGCCTGGAGCCATCATGGTATAATCGGTAGGACCGACATGTGCTTAGGCATCTTGGAGAAGAGTGAGTAATTTCTAGCACAGCTGCTGCAATGCAGATGGTGCTGGTGTAATGGTATGTCCTGAGGCAGTGTTACAGCGAGGCAATGGGGCTCTCCTCACTGGCCCAACAGGGCTCTCCTCACTGGCCCAACACTTGGAAAGCACTCTGTCCAAATTTGCAGATGACATAAAACTATGGGGTGAAGTAAACACACTGATGGGAAGAAACCGAATCCAGGGGGACCTGGACAGTTTAGTGAAGTGGGCAGAGAACAATAGGATGCAGTTCAACAAGGACAAGTGCAAGGTGCTGCACCCAGGGGAGAGGGAATCACCAGCACACCTGTGGGATGACCTTTTCAGAAGCACAGCGGCCGAAAGAGATCTCCAAGTCGTTGTCGACTCCAAGAGGAATATGAGTCGTCAATGTGATGAAGTAATTAGCAGAGCTAACTGCACTTTGTCATGTGTTAGTAGGTGCATCACGAACAGGTCCAGGGAGGTGATGCTTCCCCTCTATGCAGCACTGATCAAGCCGCAGCTGGAGTACTGTGTCCAGTTCTGGAGGGCCACTCGTATGGTTAGAGGCCTGCAAGGAAGGCCCTGTGAGGAAAGGCTGAGGGACCTGGACCTTTTCAGCCTCCACAAGAGAAGGCTGAGAGGGGGATATTGTGGCAGTATACAAGTTCACCAGGGAGGGGGCAGCAGGGAATAGCAGATGCTCTGTGTACCAGGACACCCCTTAGAATAACCAGGAACAACAGCCACAAGCTGACAGAGAGCAGATTTACGTTGGACATCAGAAATAACTTCTTCATGGTTAGGGCTGCCAGAATCTGGAATGGGCGTCCAAGGGAGGTGGTGCTCTCCCCTACCTTGGGGGTCTTCAAGAAGAGACTGGACAAGCACCTGGCTGGGATCACGTGACCTCAGTGCTCTTTTGTGCCATGGGTAGGGGCTTGGACTCGATGATCCATTGAGGTCCCTTCCAACCCTAGCATCTATGAATCTCTGAACAACACCATTGCTCTCTGTGTGCTGGCCACTTCTTGCAACAGTGGGGCACTGGCAGTGCCCTCATCGCCTCTGCTTCTAACTATGGCATGTGATAGGGTGCTGTGGACATTTCTGGTTTCGTGTGGTGTTGGGGTCCAAACTAGTGATTTGAGGGAATCCTTTGCTAAATGGTTGTTTGTGGATGCAAGAGGCTGGACTCAATGGCCCAGAAGGCTCCTGTTGGGCTTCTATCAGGCCTGTCTTCCCCATGTGGAAAGCAGAGGAGTTTATGCACATATATGGTCTAGTATAGATATGACACGATCTCATAGATATATGCAGACACACACACATATATAATGTGTATGTGGGTGTGTATATGTGTATGTATATATAAACATGCATGTGTGTATGTGTACATTCTGTGTGTGTATATACAATCAGCTTAACATTGTATAGAAGCAAACCATGCACTGCCATACAGCTGACACTTGTGTTAATCACAGCTGACTCTAACACTGCTAAATAATACAAGACTGGTGAGGTCCTCATAGCTATGCTATGGCTCAGCCCATGCACTGGAGTTTGAGCTCCTCTGTTGCTTGACAAACTCCACATATGTTCAGCCATTGACTGAGCAAAGAGCATGTGACAGATTTCCTGGAAAGGTCCCATTTAATTTTTCCCTTTCTGCTTAATCTTGTGGAACATGGTCATCAGACATTTACTGAAGCTTCATAGCCTTTGACAGAGGTTGCTTCTGCAATTCGTGCTCCATATTCTTTAGCCAAAAGTTTGCCGAACAGAAGGTGCGAGCGAGAATCTATTGCTCTTTTTAGAGCATTAGTCAAATAGTTGCTTGTTCATGCTGATTAAAAAAAACAACCCGCCCCCACAGGCTTCTGGATTTCCTAGAGCTCAGGAGATCTGTGACAGTCTCACCACGCATCCCACCACTTGCTTGTTCTCCACTTACAGGCTGAGATTTTACACAGTTGCCCTGTGACACTTTTGTGTGTCCTGTTTGGTGTATTGATTTGGGTTTACAATGCTGTTCTGTTCTGCATAATAGCATAGTGTTCTGCACCTGATCTGCTTGAGAGCAGGTGCAGTGAGGTCTGTGATCTGGGCACAGTGCCTTCATGCGTGTAGGCAGATGGTGTGCTGACAGTGTCCCGTGGAGGTCTGGATGGGTGAAGGACAGGTGATAAATTAAATGCATCTGCCTCTCTTCCCAGGGTTGGTTTGCAGTGACTCTGGCTGACTACTTTTGGATACAAAGGGCACGTGTAGAGAGGAGCTTTATTTAGAACAGTGTTGTCCAACTAGTGGTCCTTGAGCTGTGTGCAGCCCACAAACGGTTAACATGTAGCTTGTGGAGCCCAACAGTCAACTTCCTTGCCACATTGCACGGGAGGGCCCATGGTCCACCAGGTGGGGAGGGCCATGTGCTGGGAGCTGCACATCGGTACCCCACGCAGCCTTCTGCTGTGCCGGAGCCTGAGAGGCCTGGTTTAGAGGGTTGTGTGCCTGTGTGCATGGTGTCCCAGTAGGGAGCTTGAAGGAAATTCCAGCGTAGTTGTGAGTCACTGCTGTCCTGTGATCCACTGGGTCATGGTTTTTCTGGTTTGCGTTTGTCAAGACTAGCAAACACCAAGAGCAGGTTGAACAAACAGTGCAGGGTGATGAAAACGAGGAAGAAACCTAGAGCAGAGGACCCTGCTTCTATGAGACATGAGGCTTTGCTCACCCTCTTGGCATGAGCAACCATGAGCTGGTTGAAGTCCAGTAGCGTTGCCTCAGCTGACCCCAAGGGCTGGCTTTAACTCATGATCTCAACCTGTCATGTGGAGGGTGACTGAGGAGCCAGCTTCCCTGATGCCTCTCCTTGCCCTAAGCCCCTCTTGAACAGATTGGCTTTGCAGTTCCTTTTCCTGAAATAAATGTAACCCTTCTTTGGCCTCGGTCAGGATTTTCTTGAGGGACAAATGGCTGAATTGTAATGCTGAATTGGCTTCATGCTCCGGTACAGCAGTGTGGTCGGTTGAGCATGGATGTGTTCCTGCCTCTGCCCTTTCCTGGCATAAGAACACCAGTTTTCCTGCTCCTTCCAGGAGTAATGGGACAATCCCAGGCAGCTACCTTTGCAGAGGCTGAGATGGCTCTGCTCCTGTGTGCATCTGAATTATAGGCAGGCCCGGGCCTGCAAATACGGTATAGTTGGGTCAGTTGCTTAGAGGCATGGATGTATTTTAACAAAATATTTGGAATATTAGTGAGAAGTGGCTGGGAGCGTTACAGGCACCAGGCAGAGAGCCATGCTGTTGGAGTCTTCTACACAAGCTGGACATGGGCAGGAAGAGAATGAGATGGAAGTGAGGTCCTGGAGTTTCTCAAGACATGGTCATTCCCCCTCCTTTCAGTGGAGCTGTGCTTGCCTTTGCTTTACACCTCAGTTTAGGTGGGGCTGGTGCTTTACATCTGGGGCGGGGGGCTGGACTCTGATCTTCCGAGGTCCCTTCCAGCCCTAACATCTATGAAATCTCTCAAGGCAGCTGTTCTGTCGACCTAGCACTCTGTCTCCTGCCTGATAAGTTGTGGTGGCCCTGTCATGCCCAGATCTCAGCATTACGGAAGCCAGTGAGTTTGGCTGGAGGCCAGGGCCCCTTGCAGGGACCTTGACAGAGATTATAACTTGTCCTCCCAGTGATGGAGGATGAAGGGCAGGCATTTCCGTGGTTCTGTGTTCCCTTGGCTGCCTGTGGGACCATGAACTGGGATGTCGCATTGTCCCAGCTGTGAAAGCAAGAGGGGCAGGCATGGGTTACTAATAAACAGCTTGCTTGCTTTCTGTTTAGGAGCTGCTGTTGTGCAGTGGCCTATCTGGTTCACAGGGGCTCACGTGAGGTTTGTCGTGATTATTTTTACTGTGGCTGCACATAGGGAGCCTAGTCCTAGATCAGAGTCCCAGTGTAGCAGATGCCAGACAGATGCCACGCCAAGGGGCAGTTCCCAGTTCTGTCCTGTGGGCTAATGTCTTCTGAGTGTTTCCGATGGAAATGCAGAGCCGACTTTCCTGTCTGAGCCCATTAGCTGGAGGGAGCAATTGACTTGACTGACGGCAATTGAGACGTAGATAAGATTAGATGTCTGAGACTCAGGCCAGGCAAAACGGGCTTGATGCTCACAGGATGTCATGGGGAATCCTAGGCTAAAGGGTCAGTTGGACAGTCTTGTAGCAAGTCTGGTGGAGAGCAGTGAGTTGCATCTATATATTTTGCTCTTAAACATGGAACTGTTTAAACACCAGCAAGGTGCAGATGGCACTGACTGTCAGGCCCACAGGACTGTGCGATGCGTTTTCCACCTGAGAGCACCCATGCTGCTATTGAATGCCGTTTTCATTGTCACACTCTATTTTTGGTGTCTCTTAAAAACATAAGTATTGCTCAAATGATCTGCCTTGATGAAGGTTGCAAGGCAAATTTGTCGCTGTGTTTGTGAATAAGGGATTTGTTCCCCAAGGGGAAGTAAATCTGATGGGCCAAAAAATCTTGGGAAAAATTGACTTGAAACTCAAATGTTCACCCAGAAATGACCTGAACAAAGAAGCCTAAAGCCAATGCATAGTCTAGGTGTGCAGCATTGCCCTCTATTAGCTGAGACTAGAACTGCTCAGCTGTGCCGCCTCGCTAAGAGAGTTTCCAAACAACTCAAGGGTCAGGGCCCTCCGTTCTGGCAATGGAAGGATCTGGGTCCTATCCCCACTGCGTCCAAATTCTGAGAGTTTAAGATGCCCAGCACAGTGGCAGCCATACGTGTCCAGGTGCTTCTTGCAACACTGAAGTTAAAGGCATTAGCATGGCTAAAGCTGCCCCTGGAGACCTGTCTGGGGCACCATGCCTCAGGAGAGGTAGAGAGATTCTAGAAGAGAGCAGCAGGAATGACTGGAGGTCTGACCTGTATAAGAAAAATCTGGGACACCTAAGATTATTTAGTAGGGGATGTTGATACATCTTCAACTACTCAAAGGGTTATTATAAAGAGGATAGGGCTGAATTGTCCCATCCTCACTGAGCTCTGAGAAGAGGCGGCTGTGGGCTTAAGTTGTAAGTAGAGAGATTTAGGCTGGAGATTAGGAAGAACTTTCTAACGAGAACGGTGGTTAAGCACAGGGAACAGATCCCCTAGGGAGACTGTGGAATCGCCATCACTGGAAGTTTTTAAATGCAGATTTGGCAAACATTTGCCTGGGATAGTTTAGACAAGGATGATCTTGCCTTGAGTAGGAAACTGGAGTAGATGACCTGGGAAAGTCTCTCCCAGTTAGGCTTAACTATGATTCTGCCCAGCCTCTAGCCAAGAAGTAAATGTTGGTGGGGAGGGGTATTGTGACATTTAACCCCACTTAAATGCATATTTTGTACTTTTTACATGAAATGAATTCTCTCCCGTAGTACAAAGGTCTCTGGGGTAGATCTAAGAGGGGAAGATGGGAAGGGGAACATTTGATCTTGGACTTGATGTCTGTATCAACAAGGTCACCAGATAGTTCCTCAACCACTTGACTGTGTCTGTTTAATTTCTAGATCTCAACTAAATGCAACTTGCAGTACCACAAGCTGTTCAAGGACATTCCCACGGAGGAGAGCGTCCTGAAAGGTAAGCACTGGAGGCAGTCTCAAGGGAGCAATAAGACGCCCACCATGCCCTGGAGAGGACAGGCTCTGAAGACCAGCCGGCCTCACTGTCCCCGCTGTCAGCCAGAGTGTGACTGAGGTCAGAGGCTGGGAAGGCAACAGATGGCAGAACCTCATTGGGTCCCTTTGCAGGGCAAATGAGTTCATTGATCCTGGAGACCAGAGCCTTCAAGTCTTTGCAGGGTCCTGGGTCCCTAGAAGTTTGATTATCGTAGCCTGAGCTGTGATGGTAGCTTGTTTAGCTTATACTCTGGTTACCGGGGTTTGCTGGGGAGAACCAGTGCTTTCCAGCATCGGTTTGAGGTGCAGTGGGATGAGCCCCTGCCATTTTTTAGTATCAGATGCCCCCATAGTGAAGGGAAGGAGAGAATGTCTTTCCTCTGTGGCCACAGACCTGTAGCCCGCAGCCCCTCCAGTCAGGTGACTGACAATTTGGGGGAGTCCCCAGACATGATAGCAGCCAGCAGTGGTTCAGGGTCCTTCAGTTTTGCTGTGGCGTTGGTTTTATGGTCCACAGTGTAGTAGCTCCTATTGCCATACTGCCGTTATGTGTTACAGTCTGCTCCTGCGCACTTCAGAGAGACATCCTCATTCAGGGACGGCTCTACATCTCCCCCAACTGGCTCTGCTTCTATGCAAACCTCTTTGGGAAGGACATCAAGGTAATGCTGTGCTGATGTTCTCTGCCTGCCTTTCTTTGGTAGGGACCTGAAATCTGAACACAAAGCCCAAGCACAGATAGCAGCATCTGGCAGCAACACCCCTTCCCCAGCCCAGCTTCCACTGACCTGTCCCCAGTGGTGTCTCATCTTGTTCTGTCATTGGAGCCTGCTTACATCAGCAACACTGACTCCCAAAGAGAACTTGTTCCTTTTGGGATACAAATGCCTGCACCTTCCTTCCCTGCAGTCCCCATTTAGCTGCAGCAGACGGGACTCCTAGCTCTGGGCAAACGGCTGTTTTTGCCAGACTTTTTTTCCAAGAGACTGAAATCATCTTCCTTTCCCTCCAGACTAAAATCATCTCTTAAGAGTGTCAAATAAGGGTGTAGAAAGTAAGAGTGAGTGTGTGTACGCTTGTATAGAAGGGAGACATTTCTTCCATCTCTCGTCTCTATCCAATAACCCGGAGAACTTTCTTATTGGAAACAAATCCTGCGTTTGTTTAAAATTCCACATCCCGAAACGTTTTAGAATCTAAGCCTGGTTCTGCAGCAAGATCAAAGGATTCTAGCAGATTTGAATTTCTCTCAACTCCTGCTTGAAGTATAGTTTGACGTTTTGAGTTAATGTTGCATCTGATAAAGAACTTTTTTAGAACCCATTTCCTTTAACACTGTGCTAAATAGCTGAATTATTTATATCAGCAGCCATTCCTATGTAAACAAAAAGCTGATAGAAGTAAAGTTAGTTAGTTTTCAAAGTTTAGCATGTTTTGATGGAGTTATTCGGCTATAAATCACATCCTGGTTTATTTTTAACCGTGGCCTTGATTCCAGGGACTTGTGGGTTTGTTTTTTGTTGGTTTTTTTTTTAATTTCTTCCCCTTGACTGATCTCTATAGAGAGCTGTTCTGTTTGTATTGGCTGATGGATCCTTTTTTCCCTTAGCTGTATTGAAAATGTAGATGCAGGAAATGTTTTGGAGCCAAGATTGTAACAGAGTTTTGTGACACGTACTGACAAGCAGTCCAAGTAAAATTGCCTCCAGGCAACAATCAATATTTGGGCAACTAGTGTAGACAGCAGATAATGTTAAATTGCTGCATTTGTAAAGAAATTGCGTGCATGCACATGCGAACACGCATGTGCACACACATACACATTGAAAGGCCACCAAGCCAGGCTTTCAGAAGTTATTAGGTACCAGAATTAGGGTTGTCCGTGCAACCCTAATTTAGGCGCTTTGTATCAGATAGCTCAGAACAGACTTCACGGATATGAATGATACATAATGCCTTCCTATCGGCCTGCTGCCTCAAGCCAGTGCACAAGATGGATGGCGCTCCACTTAAAAGCAGCTGTTCATGTTTTGTTTGATTCTTACCAGTCAGTAGGTGGCCTTATGGCTTATTTAATGCACGAGGTTCAAACATTGCTTTGAATGAAGGATCTGCCCACATAGGATTTCTATGATGCTTCCAGCTCTGCTTATAACACGTATGTGCTGTTCTGTGTTGCAGGTGGTTATCCCAGTGGTCTCGGTGCAGCTGATAAAAAAGCACAAGACAGCCCGGTTGCTGCCCAATGGCCTGGCTATCACCACCAATGCCAACAGAAAGGTAATATCTTGCATCTTCTCTTCATGTCCTGTCAGCTGTTTTAGTGCCAGGGCACCAAAATAAACACCACAGCTCTAAGAGCCTTTGCTTTGGTTTGGACCCTCTGAATTTCACAGTGTGTTTCTGGTTGGAACTGAACAACCTGGCAAACTTCCACTGCGTTCCAGCTGCACCCTTGAAGCCGGCTCCTGAGGGAGTGAGGGACTGGTGGGAATGTCCGCCTTGTTTGTTCAAATGTCAGTTTGAGCAGCAGAGCTTCCAGTGAAGGTGGACTGAGTTCAGTGTTCACATGGACTCTGGCTTATAGGAATGTTGCCTGGTGCTGCATGCTGATGTACACTTGGCTGATTGTAATGCCTCTTCTGCAGAGAGTGCCAGGGAATATGCACCGATCAGAATCTGGTATCATGCTTCCTCTCACCCAGTCCTGTGCTGGGCTTTTGGGTTAGTTTTTACTTGGAGGGAAAAGTATCAGTTCCCCAGTTCCTAGTGTGGCTTCTAACCAGGTAATAAAGGCTGAATCCCGTGAAACATAAAAGTAGCTCATGTCAGGGGTTGTCAACCAGGGGTATGCGTACCCCAAGGGTACTTAGAAAGGTTGTAGGGGGTGTGGGAGGGGACAACACAGCCTGGGGCACAACAGTGGCATTTCCCCGACGCGTTTGCCTCTTACCCAGGGGAGGGACATGCCGGGTGCCGCCAGCCCTACACAGCACACCATGGTACTTCCCCACCCACCACCCCAGCTCACTTTCCTGATTTGGCTGCTACCACCTTACAGCAGAGCTGCAAGGGTCTGAATGGTGGGGGGAGTGTATTTTTGTGCCCACCCCTGGCAGCACATGATTGGCCAGGTGCGAGGCCCATCAGCAGCCTGCGGAGCCATGACCAGCCAGGGGAAAGCGGTGCGGCGTGCGGCCAAGCAGGGCAGCAGCAGTGGTGGCGGGGTTGGCCACTGTGTGTCAGCCCCTCTCCCCGCATTCGTGCCCCCCCTCCCCCGTGCTGCTGCTACATGCACCGCTGAGGAGGGCATGTGGGAGAGGTGCATGCCCCCAGATCAACATGCGGGGCAGGGCCGGCTGTGGGCCGGGGCAGCGCTGGGCTGTTCCCAGGGGGGTGTTGGGCCTGGCTGTGCTATGGCCCCTCCCATAGTCCCGCTCCCAGTATCACCACTGCCTGCCCCAAGTGCAGCCTGGCCCAGGCCCTGTGGGGAAGAGCCCAGTGCAGCCCTGGCTCCAGCCTGCAGCTGCAGCCCACCCTGCCCCCTGCTCAGATCTGGGGGGGGGGGGCACATGCCCTCCTGGGGGTGTACATAGCAACAGGAGCCACCCCACTCCCCTGTCGCTGCGCAGCTCAGTCTCACGCCCCACTCCAGCTGCACAGCGCCAGCCCCAGCCCCTCCTCACCTCATCACTCTCTCCCTCACTTTCTTTGTGACTGGGCTTGGGGCAGGGGGCCAGACGAGACCCCCACAGCGCAGAATGATTCACCCCTGCCCCTGCCCCACTCCCTCCTGCGCTGCGGGGATTGTCCCACCACCTGGCCTGGCTGGGGCTCCATTCACCATGAATAGAGCCCTGGCTGGGCCAAGTCGTGGGACAATTGGAGCCCAGTGGCTCATCCAGCAGGGCGGAGGTGGGCTCCCACTGCTGTGTGCACTACAGGGGAGCCACGGGGAAGGCACGTGTCCCCCCACCTTTAGCTCCCCTGTGCCACACCCCTTGACAAGCTGCTGGGCTCCACTTGTCCCACCACCCAGCCTGGCCTTGGCCCCACTTTCCAGCCCCTGCTCCTGCCTGCGCTCCGCTCGCTCCCTCATCGCAGGGGTCTTGATCTGCCCTCCCCTCCTCTCCCCTCCCCCTGCCCCTTCTCCCAAAGACTTACCTGCTGCGGGGGGGAGGGGGCTGCACACACACGTGCTCAGACTCCTCCAGATAATTTTTTCTTCCTCTGCCTATGTAGTGCCTGCCCCTGGCCCAGCCCCACTCCTTCCTGCACCACGGGGGCCTCAATTTGCGCCCCCCCCCCCCTTAAAAACAAGAAAAAAATATAAAGGAGTACACAATCTGAAACTTTGAGGCTGAAGGGGTATACTTGTTAAGAAAGGTTGAAAACCCCTGTCTTATGTTATTGCAGCCCAGGTGGCATGAGCTGAAGGTAATGGCTGAGGGTTTCTAATGCAGAACTTGGTATTCAAGCCCTTCTAGCACTGAATTGTTGTACACTGTGACATCCCATTGGCTTGGATAGGGCTGATCTTGCCTCAAGCAGGAGGATGGACTAAATGACTGCTGGGGGGTCCCTTTCTGCCCTACTTCTCTCTGATTCCACTTTTATTTTAAGTCAACAATAACATCAAGAGTTGCGTGTTCCTCCAGCACCCTCGGCCTACTTCTCCTAACATGGAAGCCCAATTATGTAATGCTTCTGTTAAATCCAGGCACTGTTATATCACATGCTCTTTTTCTGAATGCCATACTGCCTAGTGCCAGCAGAAGCTCTTATTCAGGATATGAGGTTCCACAGCTGGAGCATAATTAGGGGCTAAGCCATTAAAAATCTGGACCAAATTTTACTGAAGAGGAGCTTTTGGAAAATAAAATCCCATTTAATCATTGGATTGCCAAGAAAATCTTTTGGGGAGGAATTAGTAACAGAGGACACGTCTTCTGCGGGCAAGATTTTTTTTTAATAGGGGTTTCAGTTTCACCTTGGCAAAACTGAAGTTGGGAGGAGCTTTTGGAGTCTGCCAGTCTCTTGTACGTGCTGTGCCGCCTGACACTGGAATGTGAGAGTAGAGCTCAGTAGCAGAGAAAACAGGCCCTAGTTAAGAAATTCTGCTTGGCTCTGACCTTTTTGACTGTGGGAGAATAAACACTTCCCTCTGGGCCCTCTGGAGGTCAAACATGATATTCTTACTGCCAGGGCAGTGTGGCACCGTAGAAACCTGGTTCACAGAGGTGGAAGCTTTTGCTGGGGACAGTCAGATGCATCTGATAAAGTAGGCTGTCGCCTATGAAAGGTCATGTGTCTGAGCCAGTTAGTCTCTAAGGTGCCACCCTGCCCTGCCTTCTGCCTGACTTCAGACTAACTTGGCTAACCACCTTACTCATCTGTGTTCTTCTTCAGTGTCTCCTTCTGTATTTCCTTTGAGGCTACTGGCAGGCTAGGAAGGCACAGAAACAATCCCAGTTCCTTAATCTCATCAAAGCTAAGAGGCTTGAACTGTCACTTTTTTTTTATTTTAAAACTTAATTCACCAAAGGGCTTCACACTTGCGTGAGCTTGGGCTGTGGTTTGGATTCTGCCGTAGTCACCCAGCAGGTATTTCCCCTCTGATGGAAAGCTTTCCCTCCATCCAGATTCTCTTCCCAATTCAGTGTGTGCCCAGACTCTGCCAGAACCCTGCACTCTGGGAGGGCTCTTATAAATGTCTGCATGGCCCTTTCTTCAGGCTGCTTGCACTGGGGATCAAGGATTCGGACATTGTGGAGTACACTTGAGGGGTTAGTTTGAGGGCCTGCTGCCTTTGTCTGTGCCCTCTGTCATGCTGTAGGAAGCAGTGAGGCAGGTGGCACTTTGCCCAGGGATGAGTCAGTGCTGAGCTAATGGCCTTCCCAGTGCTAGAACATCGTGACACTTGAGGCCTCTGCCTTCTGGTAAAAGTTCACGTCTGACTCTTCAGAGTAATTAATAATCTCAATTTGTCCCCAGCCTCCCGGCTGTAGCTCCAGGACTTACCATCCCAAAGTCCTCCAGAGTCACAGTGGAAACGGTCATTTTTTTCATGTCCTGTTCCATATTGCTGAGTAGCGGTGCTGAGAAGCCAATGTTCCAGCCCAGAAGCAGCTGCATTTTAGTCCTGATAAAAAGCTGACTCTGCAAGACCCAGTAGAGCTGGTTTCTCACTGAAATGGGGGTGTCTCCTCTAAGCAGGCTCTTGTTATATTTAAATATCCTTTCTTTTAAAGTCAGGTTTCCCCCAAAGTACCCAGCATTGGCCAGACAGCTTGCACTGAAGCCAGTGATAAACTACCATGGACATCAATGGGAGCTGAGCTAGGTAAATCCTTGAGACTCCCACCCTATATGCCCTCCTGGGAAAGGCATTTGCAGGGCTCCTGGCCTTTTGCGTGTGCATGTGTGTGTGTGTATGTATGTATGTGTGCACAAAATTATGATGCGAGTAAGTATGCGTGTATCTTCTGGTTACAAAATGAGCTGTTCTCTTGCTGAGTCTGCAGCTCCTGTGCATCCTAATGGAGTGCTTAACCTAGTTTGGAGCTTTTGAAATGTGAATGCTGTTGAGCCAGCAGCCAGCAAGGCCACATGCTTTTGGTTTGAACTCTGAGCGTCCAAGCAAAGAAAGGATCCAGCCCCTTGAGCAGCCCCTGTGCATCAGAGCCAGCGTGGTGGGCTGGTGGCCATGCAGTTTCACCACTCTCTCTTTGTTTCTTTTCAGTACATCTTTGTGTCCCTGATCTCCCGAGACAGCGTGTATGACGTGCTGAAGAGAGTCTGCACCCACCTGCAGGTACAAACCCAATAGCTGACATATTAGAGGGAGAGCAAGACCCAATGAACAATTATGGTGCTGATGCTGGGGTGGATGTATTTTGGTGTCCCACGCACAGACCTTTTGTGATGCGTCTCCTTGTAGTTAGAGCCTTTTCCCCTGGAAAGCATCTGTTCTCAGGGCAAGAGAACAGGCCTTATGATGAGAGGCTGAGAGCCATGGGACTCTTCAGCCTGGAAAAGCGCAGGCTCAGGAATTACCTAGTGGCTGACTATAAGTATAAAAAGGGTATACATCAGGATCTGAGGAAATTCCTGTTCACCAGAGCACCCCAAGGGATGACAAGGTCAAATGGTCACAAACTCCTCCAAGACTGTTTTAGACTGGACATAAGGAAAACCTTCTTTACTGTCCAAGCCCCCAAGACCTGGAATAGATTCCCTCCAGACATGGTGTAAGCACCTACTCTGGGCTCTTTTAAGAAACATTTGGACGCCTATCTTGCTGTGATCCTTTGACCCCAGCTGACTTCCTGCCCCTGGGGCAGTGGACTGGACTCAGTCTTTTGAGGTCCCTTCCAGCCCTAATGTCTATGAAATCTTTCCATGTACTCTCTAATGATAACTGTCACAACCGTTGGTGCAGGGGGGACCCTGGAGAGTTGGGACATGGAGCTGTAATCTGAATTGTCAGGCTGTGTTTCATGGCTTCATTTATTGCCCAATCTACTTGCCCACTGAATCACGGACACACAGGGAGGATGATGCAAACTCCTCACCTCTGGAGGCAGAGAGCAGCTGGAATGGGCAGGTGAAACTAAAGCCTTTTCCTTCTGTGTCTGAGTAGTTTCAGCTTCAGTTGTGTGTTGTTGGTGGCCCCTGATTTAGTAACTGAACTGCTGGGTGGTGAAATCTGTGCTCCTAACAGAACAGGAGGGTTTGGATGCACTGATAATTCTGGGGCTTCCTTTGGGTGCTAGCCACGTGTCTCTTCTTAGACAATATGAGCATGGAGGCTGTCATAGCCCAACTCTTCCCATTGGCAAGCGGGCGGTATGTGATGGCATCAGCTACTTAGAGGATTCCCAAGGCAATCCAGAGGGGGTGACATGGTAGTGTGTGATATACCAGACCCCACCAGTCTCTCTCTGCCCAGAGCAGGAGGGATGGACCTGGTGATCTCACAAGGTCCCTTCCAGCCCTCAACTTCTGTGAATCCATTAAAGGCAAATGACAGAATGGCCAAACCTGGGTAAGCAAAAATCAGATGTGGCCAGAACAAACCCACAAGCCCTTTTTTTTTTTTTTTGCCTGGAAGTTGTACAGACCCCCTTCCCTCGGCACATGCCCTCATACGAGGCTGGTAATGTGCTATCTGAACACAACAGGGAGGTACAGAACAGTGCTGTAGACATGAACGTGGGTGTCTCTGGGATCCTCACTGTCCCATCAAAGTGCTGCATCCGTACTGGCTGCCATTGGGCCTGGTGTGGTATGGTTGGGGCTGTCAGCAGCCAGGACTTTCCCTGCACTTTGTGGGGCGCTGGGTAGAATCTTCTACTGGCTCAGCTACCCGCCGCAGTAATCCCAACTCGGGTAGCTCTGTTATAGGCAAGGCTGCTGCTTCAGTTCTCCCATTTGCAATAAAGCAGCAGAGGCCACTGGGGGCAAATCCACTGACTAGACCCTCTTTCACCATTAAGGGAAGCTGATAGCTGAGTGGTTCTTCCCCTTCACACAAGGCCAAAGCCTCCCTTGCCTTGTCTGTGTTGATTTAATGGGTGGCAGATACTTATACCTCCTTCTGGGAGAGCTCATGGAACATTTCCTTTCCAGCAGCTGCTGAAGTGGCTGTCAGGGAACAGGGAGTGGCTGAGGCCTGAGCACAAGACTGGGGTGTCCTGAGACAGTTGCAGTTGGGTAGTAATAGATGCTTTTGCTTTATTGCGGCAGACGTCTGTTAGCTCTATGGCAGGAGAGTACAGGCAGTCTGAGCTGCTCCTATTCTTCAGCTGCCCTGGGCAGATGCTCTGGGGATTTGAGGGCCCCTCAAGCACCTGGGGCACCTGCCTCCTTTTCCTGGTTACAGAAAGGCACCCTGGGGAACATGAGGGTACCTCTCTGTAAGTAAGGAAGTCAAGGGTCCCTGCTCAGCCAGACCCATTCCCTACAATCATAAGGGCAGGTCTGGCTGAGCAGGGAAAGTGGGGAGATCTCATGGTGCCTTGTCCCTCAAGAGCAGGGCAAGGGGCAACGTGTGTTGTGCCCATTGAAGCGGATCAGCTGTATCGTGACACATCACAGCACAACTGATCCGTTTCATTGACGATGTCTGTTTCTAGCCTTTGAACCAGATCCTGCTCTACTTAAGCCTGACACCTAAGCCTGATCCTGTCCTACCCTGCAAATCCACCAGTGCACTTACTATTGTAACACTGTCATCTCAGCTTCAAGCACAAAAAAACAGTGAGGAAGAGATGATCCACTCACCTTTTTGTATCAAGAGCCTTTCAGAGACTCCAGCTTGGGGGCAGAAAGGATCGTGCTTGGGCCTCTTAAGCACCAAATCGTTGGAGTACGATCTGGCTTTCTCTGTGCTTGAACCACGAGGCCAGGTCACCTTTCCCACATTTAACCCTGTCTGGCTTGGCAAGCTTGGGCAAGTTGCTTTGCTTCTCTGTAAACCAGGCATAATTCTGCTTTGCTTCCTCCCTGGGGGGTTGTAATAATTCATTAGTTAATGTTCATAAAGTGCTTTCAAGATGAAAGGCTCCAGATGCTTTGTACCAGGAAATATAGGCAGACAGAAAACGTGCTTCCTATCAGTGTGTGTGTGTGAGATACTGAAAGGTTATACATTAAATATAGTGACGCTGGAATGATGAGCAGGAATTAAGTACATATCCTAAATTGCATGACCCAAACGTTTCAGTGCTGTGTTTTAAAAAGCATTCACTGGACCTTCTCCCCTTTAAAACACATTTGCTTCTACTTTTTGGCTTTTAAAATATTTTTTACATTTGTCATATAGAGGCAGGGGTCCAAATCCTGCCCAGAGAATGTAATCGCTGCCCTGTTAGCTACAGTTCTCTTGCATTTCACTCCTTTGCTTCAAGTAACTGCTCATCATTTGGTTCATACCTAGACACAAATATGGTTCTTGACAAACGATGGGCCAGCGTGTGGAAAAAATTCACTCCCAAAGCATTTGGCTGTTAATGGATTCATATTATAAAACACATGTTGTAACGTTGGGAGCAATCCTGTTTTAACTGTCTTTGCCAGCAGAATTGGGCCAATTATGATTAATTCTTGTGTTGTGTTGTGCAGCAGACTGAGTTTTGACTTAGTTGCTTGCAGTAAGCTAGGTTAGCAGTTTCTAGGTCACTGATTAAACTAGGCTGAATCCAGTGAAGACTCTGTTTTAATGGAGTGTGTGTGCATTATTTATAACCTCACCAGAGTCCTATTAGTTTGCTGGTATTTGCTTGACTTAACTGTCTTCAGGGCTTTTAAACTTTTGGAGTGAAAATCCTGGTACAAACATGATCAGAAGAAATTACAGGCGAAAAAGTCTGAAGGAAAGAAATCTGCTAGTCCTTAAATTGGTGACACGTAAGACAATTTTGTTTGTCATGGAAACCAAGAACTTGATGAAACTCCATAACTTCCATGATGTGTTTCTTTGCACTGTCAGATGGCAGAGAGCACTGGGTCCTGGGAGATGTAGTGCTACCAGAGATTATGGTCTGTAGCAGGGCTGCCTAACTTGCAAACCACATGTGGTCCATAAGGGGTTAATTTGTGGCCTGCAGGCTCCCTTCTGGATGGTACTCCCCCCACCAGTCCAGCTGCTGCCACAGCTGGGAGTTTCTGTTTCCCTTCCTTTCTTCAGGTTTATCTTCTTGTCCCTGCCTCTGGGGTTGGGGCAGAGCAGCCTGCAGAGAGCGGAGGAAAGGAGGGCTTTTCCTGGTGCAGTGCAGGGAAGAAGATGCCCACACAGTGGGGCACCACCTCATACCCAGAACCGTCTTGTTTAGCAGTTTCCATGATTTCCCTCCCCAGCTTCTGCCATGAGACTCACTAAAGAAGTGGCCCCCCTAGCTTGATTCTGGATGGCTCTGTTCTGAGATCTGTGGGCAAAACAGAGGAAGCCAGCAGTACCTTTAATCCAGAAAGTGCCTTCATGAGGTGCAACGTTTTGCCTGGTGGTAAAATGTGGTGCTCTGCTGACTCATCCTTTCAGCCAAACTAGGGGGGACCTCAGTAATTTTAACCCTAGAGGCAGAACTGGTGGAAATGTTGTCAGTGCATCAAAGATGAAGCATTTTGTCAGCTCGTTCCTCGTTTGGAAGACCCTCGGAGTCAGGGCTCCAGTATTTCCTGGACTGCAGGGCATGCAGGGCCAACAGATCTTACAACTTCTGGACTCCGAGGCTGGCTGATTCCCTGGGATGCTGGAGTCGGGCAGTCTGAGGAGCCAGATGGCCTGGGAATCTGGAAGCTTTTGGGGGCCCCAGTTTGCAAGCAGTCAGCAGGGCTGAACGTCCCGCTGCCCAGCAACATGCTGCCTGGGACTGCCAGGGATCTGCAGGGAACACGTCTTATTCTGCAGTCATTGTGTTCCTTGCATCAGAAATGACATCTCGTGGGATTTCCAGTTCAGGAAAATTGTCACCATTTTGCTGTCATCTCAGTCAAGGACACACACATTTTCAAAAAGGCAAAAAAAATGACTGTGAATGAAAATTTGCCTTCCCAACTTGCTCAACCCAGATGGTTGGGGCACCTCTTTAAGTCAGAGGTGACTAGCTTGGACCAAGAGAAGTGATTTACCCAAAGCCTCATGAGGTCTTTGGGATATTGGGACTCAAATTTAGGAGCCTCCTAATCATATTTCTAATCTCAAACTTGTTGGTACCTGTGGTGTCTGAATGTGTTTTTGTTTCATTGTTTTTTTTTCTCAGCTCTGGAAATAGGAACAACCTTCATATTTTGATGTCTCCATGTTCAGCTGTTATCCTGCACAGGCTGACTCTATTTTAAAAACCCTTGATCAGATGTATATTAGCAACCCCTCTGTATATGCTACCAGTTTCTTTACAGGTATCCTAGTTGGAAGGCCTAGAAGGCAAAGTGCTGGTAACTGCATAGCAAGGAGGGACTGGAAGTGGGGCTGGGGGGGGGGGCAGGGGCAGGGGTCCTCTGCATCCATTCAGTGCCCAGAGTAGTAGCTTCCAGTCAGAGCCTGAGGTGGGTCAGTAATGTTTGTGCCTTGCTTTTCTCAGGTTTCCAGTAAGAAGAGTTTGAGTTTGAAAGAATTTACAGAGGAGCCTGACTCTGTATCTCTGGTAAGATCCATCTTTTAAAAAAAAATGAGTTAATAACCACAACACAGAAGCACCACTGGTAAAGCGATTCTGTAGCGAGTGTATAAGATTTAATGCTGTGGGCTGCAAAACATTTGGTTGAAATGTTAGTAGGTTTAATAAATTCCCTGCGCACCTTGAAGCTGCCAAAAGCAGCATTTGCATGCAGTGAATATGGGCCCCTCCAAATTCACGCTTCTCTTGCCAAGGTAAAGTTTAACGTGGGCTGTCTGGGGAGGTCACATAAAGCTGTGGCTCTTGTCCTTGGAGGATGTTCTACAGGATGTCTTTATGCAATTCACAACGTGGTGGCATCAAGTCCCTATCATGTGTTTATAGATAAGAACCACTGAATGACAGGTAGGCAGCTTCCTCTTGGCTCTGCCTAGCTATCTTGTTAACCAGTTAAGCTGCCAGAGTCATAAATGCCGATAGCATATTGGGAAAAAGGATTGAATCATCAACCATCCCAAGAGATTAAGCCTTTCTTATCTCTTTTCGCTTCCTGCCAAACTGATTCACCAATTCATTACTTAAAAAAAATCTTGCAGAGGAAACAACTCGGAGCAAACAACTCAGAAAATCACAGCACCACACAATGTATTTCACAGGGTGTTAGTCACTTTTAGCAAAGGTAACAGCGCGGGCTATGGACTGAAATATTAGTGAAAGCTCTGTCATGGGACCTGTAAAAGCACTGTAAGAACATTCCAATGGGTACCAATGGCATGGCAAACACCGTGTATAGGAAGCGTGCATGAAAGGCCCTTTACTGAGATCTGAATAAAGACCCTCCTTATTAAGACCCTTTGCCGCTGAAAAGAACAATACCTGGTTTTGAATACATTTGTTCCCCAATAAGGAAAGTCAGAGAATAAGAGCTCCCATGTCTGAAGTGTCTAATAGATGTGATCCCAGTCCCAGAAGACTTGCATTCAGTTTTACCTGCAGTAGTGTGAGTGAGTTTGAAGGGAGATGCCAGGGCTGAGAAGGCAGAGAGCTTTGTTACCACAGGCCCTCGGATGCTCAGTTGAAGGCAAGAGCATTTCCTGTTGCTTTTTAGCTGTTGTTCTTAAACAAAACCAGACATGTGGGCACACACAAATGATTGAGAACTTCAGTAAAGAATTGGTTGCAGAAGAAAGGAGGCTTCAGCCAGCATTAAACTGAGGCAAGAATGTCCCTTAGATCATGGAGGGAAGGTGTTGCTAACCATCTCTTGCAGTGACCTGTGTGATTATGAAGCTGGGGACCTTCTTTATTGAAATCCATATGGTGGCATGGGCCCCAGGGAAAGCTGCTCCTCTGTTGTGTGACGATAGCTGAGTTTTGCCTGTCTCACAATCAACCTTGTGTTTCTGCAGCTGCTGCCACTCCAAGCTCTTCTCTAGGAAACAAAGCTCTTGCCAAATGGAAATTGCGCTCTTTGGGCCAGGGTGGGACAGCTGGTGTGTGACATGGAGCAGACAGGTGCAATTTTAACTGGCTGCTAAAAGGAAAACAGCCCATCAGCTGACATGACCAGCCTGGTCATAGCATCTTCCAAAGCCCTTCAGTCTCAGTAGCACGAGGGAGGGTAGGTGTTTGTATAGGTACCAGCTGAATGCTCATGCACCTGTCATTGAAACCTTAACAGGACCCTGTTGTCTTGACAGTCCCATAATTGTGCCTTCTCTCTCGTTTCCCTCCTGCTCCTTCTTTCATCATAGTTCTTTTTCCCTTCCCAAAAAGAGGGCTTGGTGACCTGAACACAACCCAGAGTCTTGGTTGTACTGTATTGTGGGCCTGTGCTGGCTCAACTTTGTTCTTCTCCCTCACTGAAGATCAGTCAACTCTTAGATACAGTTGTTGCTCCTCCCTTGGTAGAATCCATCTAAGGCTACATACTGGCGCAAGACAGGCTGTTGGCTTTGAAGGCTGCTCGGGGGCAGGTACTTGTGTATTTTCATCCTGTGCCCACTCAGGGGACAAAGGGAACCAAGGCTGTGTCAGCCCAGCTCTGATGCTGTAGAGTGGCTCTTGCAGTGACTGGAAACGTGCTCTTAAAGCTGGCCTGGCAGCTCCTCTGCTTGATGCTTAGTTGAGTCATCACTGTCCAGTTTCTCCTCAGCAGACCCGTGCCTGCCCCTCCCCACATCCTTTCCTGTCCAGGGCTGGCCCTGTGGTTTCCGATTAGGCCGAACGAGCCTTATCAGTGCTCACCATTCCACCTGCGGTGCTTGGATTGATTTTGCAACTGTGTTGATATTGCAGCTCTTTATCACGCTCATTATTTTCCATTCTGCCATGTTCATTTCCCAAGAAACTGATGATTACTTGTTGGCCCAGGGCCTAATGTGCCATAAAACTCTTACCCTTATTTTTTTGTTTGCACTTTCTTGTTTACCACTGAAATGCTGCACTCCCGAGCAAGGTTTGCAAAATGCTGGGATTCCCATGGCACAAATCCCTTGTTTTCAAGCCAGAGGGTTTTAAAGAGCATAGCACGTCCACTCAAGGTTTTGTTATGGGTAGGCAGGGGGTTTGAAGGAGCCAGCAGCTTCTTGCCAGCAGCTGTGTGCTAGCCTAGTGTCTGTCTCTGCCTGTCTTGCAAACAGCTCTGGCTGTGGGTTCAGGCCTTCTGGTTCCAGTGACCCTCAAGAACCCATCCTGGTAGCTTCCCTTCTCCACCACATGTTTTCTGGGAGCATCTCAGGTGTGAGGTGTTTGGTGAGAGAGAGACACCCTGGTTTGGTGTCAGACCCCTTGAAGTGGACTTTTTTCCCCTGTCCGAGCAGGAAAATCTCTCCTTCCTGATGGCCTGGCAGGTATAAGAAGAATGGTGGAGGCACCACTTCACACCTCCTTGGGAGAAACAAACCAGGGAGGAGAAGGGGTGGAAGGATGTGAAAGGGTGAGGGAGGAACTCTTCCCTAACCCCTCATGCAGTGCAGAGGCCTGGTTGGCATGCGGAGGGAGGCCTGTCTGTGCCTTTCTACCAGTTACAGTGGAGGGGGGTGAAGAGGTGACACTATGGAAAACACTGTTCCACGGGCTCCCCTCCTTGCCGTTACTGCTTCTGTCCACACACATGCCCTTAAGGAGTAGGTGGCAAATCTCTTCTTGTAATAATAGTTGGCTTTGGATCCTGGAAGCATAACTGAGCATGTTGGTGTCCTGGGCAGGTGGTGGGGGCAGTTCTGAGCAAGCCTTATATTACATGGGGAATCCAGCTGCTGCTGGGTCACAGGGTCACCGGACCCTGGTGGCAGAGGCTCAAGGCTGTTGCTGCCGGGGCAAACTGGGGTGGCAGCTGCTGCAGCGCAGGTGCCATATGCAGTGGCTTCAGTCTGGCACCCCTTTGCATTTGCGCCCAGAGAAGATGTTCCACCCTATTTGCCCACCCCTGTGTATGCTACGGGTGGAGCCTCTTGGTGGCCGTGCTCCGAGCAGCCATCTCTCCTTTGAAGGCAGAAGGCTTGCAAGAGGAATGTGTAAAGTCCTAGCCTGAGTGACGGCCCTCTGCTGTCCTGTGTCAGCACAGTGGGGCTCCGCTCCTGCTTCCACTCCGCATGCAAGAAAGGCCAAGCCCTCGAGGCATCTCAAATTGAGAGCGTGCGGGAGCAGAGGCCACCCTAGCACCAGAGGGGGATTCTTTCCAGCTGTGTGAGCCCTATGACGAGATGGGTGCCTGCAGCTGCATCCCTTAGTACCCCCTCAAGGCAGCCCACAGAATGGGGCCCTGGATGTGGGGGAGGAGGCTGGGCCTGGCCTGTGCTGCCTGGACACCTAAGAGTCCACAAAGAAACTTCTTGCTGTGAATAAAGTGGCTTCTGTCCAGGCATGATGCAGAGCAGTTGGCAACTACCTTGGGCCCGAACAGAATGGGGATTTTAACGCTTGCTGTGTATACAAGGCTATTGCACTCTGTGCCCTTCCCTTTCCCTCCTGCAGTCATCTCAGAGGAGGGGGTGAGTGGCATCCTGTCCCCAGGCATGGGTGGGCTCTGCTGTCCCCAGCTGCACCATGTTCCTGGGCACCCAGATGGCAGAGCTGGGGCCCAGATGGGCCTTGCGTCCATGGCAGCCTGCCTTCCCATCTTTTCCACCCAACTCCAGCAGCTTCCTCTTCAAGGCCTTGTTTTCTCAGTGTCCATCTGCCTCTTCAGCCCAGAGCCACTGTGGGCTTTGTGCCAGCAGGCCCTGCTTCCCGCTTGCTCTCTGGTGCAGGAGGAGTACACTGAAGTGTGCGGCTTCCTGCTGGGCTGAGATGGCTGCTGTCACTGAGAGGGCCCAGCAGAGCTGGGGCTGGCAGGATGGGACTTGCTGAAGGCAGGACCCCCCCGCCGAGCTTCTCCTTGCTTAGCTGGATCCAGCCCCCATCAGAGCCTGACTACCCCCACCCTGAACATCAGCCAGCACTGTTTCACAGGGAGGGGGCCATTCCCAGAGACTGAAATGAGATTTTCCTTTCCCGCCTTGGCTATAAATTAGCTTCCAAAGTCCTGTCATTGTTGCTTTAGACTAGAGCACTTCTTCTCAGCCTTTTTTGTACCAGGACCCGTTTGTAAACATTGATGGCCAGTCCTGACCCAGTGCCCCTGATTCCTGACCCACTGCCTCCTGGCCCCAGCCCTCCAGTGTGTGGGGCAGGGGGGCCCCAAGCAGCCCCTCGCAGGCTGGAGCTCTGCCAGCCTGAAAAGGGAAAAGTCACGGTTTCCCACATGTTTCTCCCTTAAAAGAGAATCCATTCTTAAAGTTTGTTCACGACCCTCTCATATATTCTTGTGACCCGCTTTTGGGTCATGACCCACGAGTTGAGAAACACTTCTCTAAGTTGTTCAATCCAGGCTTCCCTCTGTGGGAGCCCTAAGCCCAGCTCTCCCAGGAAAGATGGGGCAGAGAGGATATATTCATATTCAGGGAGGGGTGTGATGGGAGACAGAGCCAGCTCCACCCAGCTGTGTCACATGCTAGGCCCTTTAATTGATGCACATTGCCACATCAGGGATAGTCATGTTTGTAAGTCAGGTAGTCGGTGAGTTCAGGTCTCAGATGCAGAGAGAATCTCATTGTGCACTTGGGAATTTCTAAACATTGCATTTCCAAGCCAAGGCTGAGGGCGGATTGCTCGGTTTGTTTGCGGAGCTTTTCAAGCTGCTCAGAGATCTCTGCATTTGGTAGGCCTTAGCAAAGCAATGGGGCGCTATATGCTGGGAACCCTGCAACAGCAGATGAGTGCGTTGCTCAGGAGGGCTGGGTGCAGTGTTGCTATTCACCTTTTTCAGCGTGAGTGGCTTGTAAGGTTTAAGATGGTCCGAGGGGCAGGATCCGAGTGTGGCAGTAAAGAGGAGGGTGAGAGGAGACCAATACAATATTAAAATGTGTGTGTGTGTGTGTGTGTGTGTGTGTCTTTATGCAATTCACAATGTGGTGGCATCACACACACACACACACACACACACACACACAGTTATGGGCTCCTTTCTGGGCTTAGTCTTCCCAGCTGTATGGGAGGTCTCTGTGTGCACAGAAATGTGGCTGGAGCATCTAGAGGTGAAGAGGTTTTGAAATTCAAGGTCTGATTCTGATCGCTTCTGCAACCCCTGTGACTTCCATGCAGTCTCTCATGATTTCCAGAGGGGGAGGCAAGTGACATGAGGCTTCCCAGTTACATTTCCACTTCTGGACTGAAGGTAGCAGTATTTTGAATCTGTCTATTAAGAGAACTTGGAAGTGTTGTGATGGTATCATCTCCAAGGCCCCATTTGTGGTACAACGTAACTGAGGTGTGGTGGCTGGCTCCGTAGACGGGACCATCTAGACATCTGTGCGTCTCGCGAGACAATATTGTGCTGAGTGAGGCATCAGCGTGCTGAACATCTGTGAGTGTGACTGCAGAGCCCAGTTCTTGAATGACGGCCCCTTCCACACTTATCCCAGCTGAAGTTCATATCAAACAATCAGGTCCTGAATATGGTGCTGTGCTTTTCCTGAGGTTTCGTCTTTCCTCTGCATCTTGGGTTCTTCTTTCCTCAAAAGCCTTCATCCCATGCGTAATAGATTGTTTCCAAACACTTCAGTCCAGTCCTTAACAATCTTCTCCCAGTCATTTTGCTCAATATTAATTGACTTCATATCTCTCTTGCAAGCATCTTTGAACTGGAGATAAGGACTCTCACGTGGTCTTTTTCTTGTAAAGCGTTCTCCATACAAGAGATCCTTAGGAACATAGCTGTAGAGTTAATGCGGCAGAGTCGAGCAGAGAGCTTGGAGGGCAGCAATGCAGCCGTTTTGCAAAGAAGCACCCTACACTGAAGTCCACATGCTGATCCTATGCAGTATTTGTAGTCCTTGTTCTTACATACCCGCCCTGGCACCTTGGTCTATGAACCCTCTAAAGAGGCCTCTACGCTCTCGGCAAGCAGTCAGGGTATCTGCCAATAGAAGGTTCAAATGAGCATGTTTACTGCTTTGAACTGACGCACCACTGCCTTGAAGAGGGTGGTAGGTGCCAATTTGATTGCTAGAGTATCTTCTGTGCAGCGTTGGCATGGCATATGAAAGGGGCAAGCTGTTTGAAAACCAGCAACAAACTTCTTGGTATGGATTCTCACTGCGTTTGCCTGGGAGCAAGATCAGACTATGCTCCAGAAACAAGCTGTGTGATCTATATCTTTTTTTTTTTTTTTTCCTGTCAAAATATTTATAAAATAGCTGCCTATGCCTGGATCTGGCAGCTCAATTTGCAGTAACGTGTGAAGTGATAGCCATACCATGAACTGTGTGTGCTGCTAGATTTGAATTCCCTCTTTGTGTTATGCTTGAGGTAGATTTTATATTGAGGAAGATAATTAACCATTGAAACAACTTTACCAAGGGATGTGTTGACTTCAAGTCAAGGCTGGGCACACTCCTAAAAAAGCAGGACAGTAGCTTGTAATTTAGCTCGTGTAATCACTTTATGCATGCTGTCCGGGACCTGGTTACTTTGTGAGTTACTGTGATACATAGGTAGGGTGAGCTACTGGAATGCTTGCTCCGTGTAACTTTTTGATACTAGTGCAGTGGTTCTCAACCTCGTTAGACTCTAGGCACTATCAATTAGACTCAAAGCCCCTCAGAAAATACCAGCTCTCAGTTTTCATACATTTTTTGACTACAGAAAAATAATAAAGCCATTCTTCTTTGGCAAAAAAAACTCAGAAAGCCCACAATGGATCAAAATGTTTTTAGGACTATGGATTCGTATTTGACATTTCTGGATTTATCTTGTGAGAAATACTTGCACACCTAACAGTGCTAACACTGTGTGGCACCCTTTGGCACCCACCCTTGAAAGGATCTTGGCACCTGAGTTGAGAATTATTTTACTACTGTGATAGCAGGGTTGCTAAGAAAACAGTGGGAAGGTATTATGGTATCATATGCTTCCAGTAAACGTGACAGCAGTCATTACAAAACTATGCCTGCAAAGATTACACCACCTTGGCTCCTTCCCAAAGTTTTATATAGCAGTTTTACCAAGGCTGGGAGCAGGCAAATCAAAAGAGCCTTCAAATGGTTAAAAAGTAATTCTTAGGAGAGGGCATGGCATTTGGTAGACTGTTCTCAGGGAGCAGGTGCAGGTACACCTGCAGAGGGAATGTGAAGTAGTTTGGCCTTTCTAAGTTTCCAGGGGGTGAGAAGACTTAGGCAAGACAGGCAAGCCTCTAGACTGCTTTACTACCTTGTTATCTCTTGTTGCCTTCCCAGCATTATTGTTGAACAATACTTTGTCTGTTTACTGAACAAACCATGGGTCACAGCACCCAAAGGGACGTCATGCAGTTGTGAAATCCTGTAAGCCTTCCTGAGCAATCGCAGTCAGGACACAGGGGCCTGTAGTCAGACACTTGTTCTGAGTGGAGAATCACGGCATCCCACCCAGACGTGTAAAGGCTTGAGGCTTTGTATCTCTGCAGGGGGCACTCTGGAGGGGTCAGAGGATACTAGCCCTGCAATCATGATGTAGGGTGTGAGGCCAGTGCTATGCAGGAGGTCAGACTGGATGATTATAATGGTCTTTTCTGAACTTAAAGTCGATGAGGTGAAATAAACAGTGATCAGTAACTCAAAGCAGTTCTGAGGGGATATATGCCTTTGGTATTTTGATCTGAAAAGTTTCATCCGGTATTTCCTTCATGGGCATAAACTTAGAGGACCTCTTTGCTCCTGATAGGGTTCCATCTTGGCCCTCACCAAGATGCCCTGTTGCTTGCAGGAGTTGACTTTATGTTGGGTGTGAATCCAACTCTAGCATTTGATTTTAAAAAACAAACAAACTGTATCCTACTCTTAGGCTCACCAGATTGCTGTATCAGGCAGTGAGAAGACATGCCTATCAGGGCCAACCCAGACCTGGGTAGCTTCACAGCTCTCCAGGGCAGCCAGGCACCCCCGCAGCTCCATGCCTCATGGGTCGGGAGTCCTGGGTTGAAGTCCTCTCCTACAGACCTTTCAAGAGGACTCTGCAGTATAGACTAGGGGCTCTTTTCTGGGGCCTACCAACAGCAGGGGATGGTTGAGTTTGCTGCTAACAGTCAGTGCCTTCCACAGGAGGTGATTGTCCCAGAAGTGAAGTGGAGGAAGGTTTCCCCAGCGTCTCTCTCCCTGTCTCTCCCAAATGCAGACTACCAGTGCATCCACCGGACCTCCATCAGTAGCGTCAGCACCAAGGAGAGCTCTTTTAACTCTGAGGAGCCCCTTGTGTCAGGTGAGGGGCCTCGTGGGGATGGAGGGCTTGGACCTAATAACCCGTTCTCCTTAGCCTGCCTGTGGCTTTGGCCCACCCATGCTGAGACATTGGTTAGGAAATCCTTGGAAGGGGCCTAGAGACCTTTGTTTTCCGGTGTGGGGAATGTGGAGGGATGCTTCTCTCTGAGGGGTGCATGGCTTTGTGCCTTTAACTTCCATGGAGCCCCTTCCAGAGGACAAGGCTCCTTACTGCTTGTACTTGGCCATAAGGGATTTAAATGCACGTATTGCTCTGTAAAGAGATTGCGGATCATGCTGGGAATCCCTTGAATAATATAGTGGCTATCAGATACATCCCCAGTATTAAAGCACAGAAACCACTGGGAGGTTGGGGAGCTGGGCTTCCCTGTGCAACAGTGTCTCTGAATGATCACTATGGCAAGATCAGCTCTCTCCAATCAGAACTGGGTCATGTGTTGTTCTAGCCTCAGTGAGGGACCGTGTGTTTCAGAACTAAATAGGATCATTCAGCTTAGACTCTTGATCCATTTCATTTGGTGCCTCTTGGCGCTTTTTTTTCCCCAGAAAGTGCAATAAACACAGAAGAGGAACTGGAGGCAGAACCAAACTGTGTGGCAGAGCTAAGGCCATCTGATTATCAACTCCTGAAAATCTTCATTGTGCTGTAAGTATGGAGTCAGAGAGGTAGACACCCACATGGGCGAGCAGAGTGGATAGTCAAGTACACGGGGAGTTGGCTGCAAAGCCTTTCCCTTAGAGTTCACTAGTCCAGATCTCATCCAAGTCAACAGTGGCTGAAAGTCATTACTGCCTGTGTGGGCTATGGGAGTTGAAGAGATCACCATTCAGGTCCTGAACAAATAGTCATGGCCAACTGGCACCATCAGTGGAGAAGGCAGGATAGTTTGGATGTGGGACTGAACTACCTTCTTAGTAACTGAGGTCTAGAGCCAGTGGTAGATGAGAAAGGGGACCAAAGGGAGCTGATTGATCCTTGTTGCTTCTTGCTGCACTTCAAAAAAAGGTAGCAAAGATTACACTCCACATTGCGCAGGACCCAGTTCCCTGTTGGATCCATCTCTTCTCCAGTCCCAGGTGCCACATCAGCTGGGCAGCACCCATGCCCAACACAGCTGCAGCCTGTGGAGCTGAAGCATTAGGCCAGAGTCCGTGTGGGACAGGATGGGGTTATTGTAGTGTTAGCCAAGTCCATTGCTCCACTGATGGCAGTGAAAAGGGGAGGGAAAAGGAGGAGGAAATACATGGCTGAGGGAAATGAGCAGAAGGTTGGAATCAATGTTGTGGCTGTAGACCAGGGGCTGGGGATGGAGACCTTCTGCTCCTGGCACCCATGTTAACACTTCCCATTTCCCATGCTGGGTTAGCATTTCCCATTTCCGGATCTAATCCTCTGAGCCACTCTGTAATCAGCGTGACCTGAAACAGATATGAGATGGGCTGGTAAGGCTGGTGCATTTTTTTAACATGGTTTTGATCCCCAGAAGATGAAAGACAACCAAAAAAAATGCTCTTGTATACATGGTCTGCTCAGTTTGCTGGAGCCAAGCACTGCCCCAGCACAGCTAGCAAGTGGGGTGGCAGGAGAGGGGAGAAGGTTTTGCTCAGCAATGCGGTGCTCCAGGTTGCTAAGGGATCTGTGTCTTATTAGCTAGTCCTGGGTACCAGGGCTCCAAACCTGGATCTTAGCACTCCTGCGCACTCAGCTGGCAGATGCCCTCAGGAGGGCACTGGAACATTAGCCATTTGTGCGGGATTGCTTAACACTGTTGTCCTATTGGCCCTGTCTTTCCCAGCCTCTTGTTGCAGAGGTGAGATGCTGTGGGTGTCTGATGCTTGCACTGCTCCTGCATGTTCTGTAGATATGGAGAACTGCAGTTCTCTGGCCTGCCCAATTTAGCCTATTTGCACCTTCAGTGAGAGAATAGTTTTAGGCTGTGTTGTGATGCACCATGTAACATACTGATATACGGGGCAGATTTACATTCCCATGAAGCCCCTTTAAAATCACTCTACTTCGCTCTAGCAGGGTCAAATGGATGCAACTGTGATTACTTTGAAGTCTCTCTTTGCTGCTGGCATGGTACAGATGGGTGTTAGGGTAAAAGCAGCTTGGGCCACCTTATCTTTAGAGAGATGCATATGTGAGCAGAGCCTTTGACCAGCTCTTCTCAGGTGTTGCTACTGCATGCTTAGGCCCATAATGCTGTGACCGCTAGTCCCAGCCCACATGAGTTTAGTCCTCTGGCTCCTGAGAACCTGCTGCATCTGGGATCCATTGTGACCCCAGGAGAATGGGGCTGTGTGTTGCCAGCTGTTGCAAGGAGCAGCTTTTGGAGAGAAAATTAAGTAAAGCAGCACCCATGCTCTAGTTTTATCGTTACCAAGAGGTCTTGTATCATCCCTGGCAGGACAAACATAGCCCTAGCTGTAGGAGAGGCTTTAGTCTCTAAGGTGTGCAGCACTAACAGTCTGCCTCCACCCACAGGATCTGCCTCCTGGTCGTGTCCTCTTCATACCTGGCATTCCGCATCTTCCGTCTGGAGCAGCAGCTCTGCTCTCTGAATCGGGACTACCTCTCACGCGGCCACAGGAGGTAGGGGCTCTTGGGTCCCAAGGGAGCCAATCAGTAGTGGATTTGGGACAGCAAGAAGTGGGGCATGGATGTGGCAGAGAGCTCACAGCGCAGGCATCCAGCAGCTGACGCCATGGATCTTGGCAGCAAACCAGTGGTGAAGGGAGTGGAACTTCACCCCCTCCCCCAACAGGAGATGTTACCCCTGGGATGGGTGCTCTTCCTAGTCATGGCAGGATGCAGGCTTTTCACCCAAATCCAGCATACCTGGTACAGCCTTGCTAGAGATGAAATTCTGGAGGTGGAGGGCTAGGTTGTATTCCACTGACCAGGCATCTGAGCGTGATCATGCTCCATGCTGTTAGAGGACCCTGAAAACAACAGAGACTCAAGAATGGGCCAGTCCTTATCTGCCCGGATGCTTTTTTGTGATTTAGCCTTAGACATACCAGAGTAGATGTATTAATGGTTGTTCGGGACCTCGAGGGGGGTGGAATAGGTTTGCATTTAGACACCGGGTCAGAGGAACAGGAGCTGGCCCTGTGTTTTGGAGAGCAGTGAGTCTTGCACTGGCAAAGTATGCTGGATAGGTAAGAACTAAATGAGTAAAGCTTTGCCACTAATGCCTGTGATGAAATAGCATTGCTCTGAATGCCCTAGTTTTGCCTGGCATCTACCAGTATTCACCATGCTGCCAGATCATGTGCTGTGAGCTCTCCACCAGCACTGTCTGGGGGAGAATGTTTTAGTGCAGTGACGCACAGCAGTGTGTGTGGACCCAGTCACTACTGCTTTATGATTCAATTTTCTTGCCTTTAACTCTAATGGGAGTAAGATCAGGCCTGTAGATTTCACATTGCTCTGATGCAGTGTCATGGAAGCCCAGAGCCACAGGACCTGTCCACACTGCATGATGAGTTAGCCTGTATAGGGCTCTGTGCTTCTATGGCTAGACAACTGCCAGCACCAGAGCTACGTTAGGTTTTACACTACACTGTACAGGGAAGGTTAGACGTGTGCAATGGCTGAGCTTGATGGAGCACTGGACGGGAAGTTGTGAAAACAGGGGATTGAGAGTCATCCAGTCAAGCCCCTGCATGAATCCAGCATGAGGTGTTTCCAAGGTACCCCAGACAAGTGCTTCTCCAGCCTACTGCTACAGTGTGTAGGGAATAGTCTGTCCTCATGGGATCTTCCCTCACTAACCTCTCCAGCAAGAGAGTCCCAGGAATGAATTCCTTGGGCTGCAGAAGGTAAGGGTGGGGTCCTAATGTGGGATGGATTTCCTATAAATGCCTTGGTCTCTCTTTCCAGGTGACTGTCACCCCAGAGCTGTAGCTCAGGATGGACATTAGCAGGAAAATAGCACTTTGTGTACAGATCTCCAACACAGTCTGTTGGTGAACATTGCTGCAATATTTAGAACACCCGAATTAAGTCCTCAATTCTTTTTTACTCTGTGTTGCATCCGACCTGAAACATCGCTGTTTACAATGGAAGACCCCAGTATCCTTCCTTTACTGGAATGCTGTGGGATCATGCCACACCTGCAGTGCAAGGTGCCATCTGTGGAGTCCAGCCAGCCTCCACTCACAGTATTCAGACCAACTCCAAGATGCTCCCAAGCATTCATGTTTCTGGGGGGTCTCAGGTGCAGCTCTGCTTGACTGAGGCTAAAGCAGTGTCTCTCAAATGCATTCTGAGCAAGTCCAAACTACAAGTCACTTGATGGCTCAGGGTCCTGGTCACCTCCGCAATAGGAATCAGGACCATGTACTTTTGTTTCTCCTACCAGCACAGACTCCTGTTTTGGGGTGGGAGGGATGGGACAGACTGCTGCTATCCTGCCGGCAGTGCCAGCAGAACACACATGTGAAGAGGGACCCTATGAGAGCCACTCGTTCTTCCAGGGGCCTTGGTTCTGGCCCAGATGCATTATACCAGAAGCTGCATCACCGTTTTGCACCGCCATGTCGGGAGACACCAGCACCTTTGGGCTAACATCACCTCCAGTTTCAGCAGCCAGTGGTTCAGCAGGCTCCTGTGAGCAACCTGACTTGCACAATGCTGTTGGACCCCACTCATAGGACCCAGTGCTCAAATTGCCACCTCCTTTTATGTTCAACTTTTTCTTTTCTTTGGAAGGATATTTGAGAAGCTCCCATAATGGAAGCTGACAGGGACATGGAAGCTGGGTGTGTTCTGTTCTTCCCAATACCTGCTTCCATATGAAGCAGTTGTCATCAGGACCCATCCCTTTTGCACCATGGGGTTGCTGTATTTCCTTCCTGTGCTGGACCAGCCTTGTGTGGTCCCATGCAACACAAGGTAACCTCTCTGTGACTAGAAGCCGGTGTTACCGTCTGAGCATTAACTCCATTACTCCCGTTATCAGATGTCCAATGTAGAGAATGACAATCAAACAAGATGCCAGGCAGGGTTTACAGCACTCTTGGGCTGTTACCAACTGAAGTGAGGCTTGCCCAGGTGGCAGATGATTAACCAGGGAAATTCTGGTGCAGTTTGTCTTACGGCACCAGTGTGCGTAGCCCAGAGACTGTTTGTGCATTCCACTTCTCCTCCTTAACATATTACAGTCCGTACACCTAGGGGCCCCGGGCAGAAGAAGGATGAAAAGGAGGGCAGGCAGAGCATAGAGCTAGCCCCTTCTCCTGCCCAGCCTCTGCAAAGGAAGTACTATATATAGCACAACAGTGCTCTCTGCAGAACTGAGGCTGCAGGGCTTGACGGTGCAAAACTGGCATGAAGGAGCATGAGTCAGACCTCAGAGTAACAGTCCTCTCCTAAGGTGGTGCCAAACAGACTCTTTGCTCTACACACTGCTCTCAAGCACTTGGTGTTTCTAGCCACTGGAGGAGGCTGTAAGAGGGGCTACAAAAGGTGTGGCCCAGGTCAGGCCTCTGTGTGTTGGTCGGTGTTAAAATGTACCTTTGCCATGGCCAGGCTCCAGCCCGCAGCTCAGAGGCAGCAGGAGGAATAACCACAGCAGCATTTCCTTGTAATCTGCTTGTTGTCAGCATCTAAATGAAATCTTAAGCCCTTTGTGGCCTGTCACTGCTCACCTGGGGAGCAGCAAGAGCTTGAAAGACAAGGCCTGGAGCAGAAGGCCCACTGAACGCATGGGACAATGGAGCTGATGGTGAATTGAAAGCTCCTTCCCATCTCACCTCCCTCTCTCTTTCATGGGGGCTGCCCTCAACATGTGAGGCACAGTAAAATGCTAGAGGCCAAGGTCTTGAATATTCATTAGCTTGGCTGGGCTTATGCATATTAATGTACCTGCCTCTTTAGCATTCTGGTGGCACCCTTTTTACAGCTGCTGCAGCCATGCTCATTCAGGGGTTTAATCCAAAGCCCCTCAAAGCTAATGGAAAGACTCCAGCATTCCCATTGACTCCAGCATGCAAACAGCCTTTACACTGATGTTTCAGGGGTAAGGAAGCCAGCTCTGTTCACAGCTTGTGTGAAGCATTCAGGGGACAAAGGTATGAGCTCAGGGGCAGTTTCCCTTACAGCTGCGCTGTGTAAATCTGTAGTGCCAGGGCCCCCAGAGCTCAGATGAGCTGAGATGAGAAAGCCTGCTGTGAAGCATCCCTGGGCCAGCTGGCTGACTGTTATTCACCAATAACTTCTTCTCAGGTGTGTCCATCTTGTCTTTGTTGAAACATGTCTCTTCAGTGCCACGTTCCCCTAGGAGCCACAAGCAGGAGATGCATCCTGCCACCCCTGGCTGTCAAACTGGGTTGTTGGGGGAGGGAAAGAAGTGGTACAACCAACCAAGGAGGCATGTGAGGTCTGGCAACAGGGAGAAGTCAGTGCCAGGGTTCATCACTGGTGTGAGCATTGGACAGATTCTCACTGTTTGGCTTGTACTTAAGTGACAGCTCCTGTTTTTTAGGAGTAAAAATCCACTGGGTGTCTTATTAATAATAAAGTTATTAAGTGACATGCAGACCTACTGCTGCCCCTCTCTTGGCTGCCCATGCTGCTCAGGAGGACTATCCAGTCAGCAGTGCTGACATCCTGCTCTTTGCTCAGTTGCTGGAGCTATGGGCCGGTGCTTTGGCATGTCTTTCTTGGAGCAGGAGCGTTAGAAGGGCTTTCATCCCTTCCTTCAGCCCCTCCTGTAAATATGGAGAGCACCTCCCATTGATTAACAGCAGAGATGGGGGCCAGGATCTAAGGCACATGTAATGTGTCGCCTTGTGTCACAAAGAGGGGCACAGCAATAATGATTCCTACAGCAGTGCACAGTGCTCAGCATCTGAGCTTGCAGAAAGATACCAACATACTTCATGCCCCCACTGAACATGGTATTGTCTTTACAGCATAAGATCCACTCATTCAACTGACCTCTTCCATTCACAGCTGCATCTTCTCCACTGCTGTCAGCTGCTGGGCTAAGTTACAGGAAGCCTGTAGGGCTCATGGCAAGATTTGAGCTCCCCCATCTTCAGAAATTGGGCTGTATGAAGGGTTTTAAACAACCAATTGTTTATCGGAGACCCAGGATCTGCTTGAGTAGCTTGCTTATACTGCACCTCAGTGCCTGGAGCAGAGGACAACACCAAATAGAGATGAAGGTTGGACCTTAGGTGCCTATTACAGGGCCAGCAAGTGGGGATGGAGCACAGTCTTCACTATCCAGAGGGATGTTTCTATGTTTCAGCATTTAGTGCAGGTAAACTGCTGCCAATAGGACTTGGATGTATTCTAGTTCTCTTCCACCTGCAGCTGTTTTTCACTGAAATCAGTGTCACTGCTGCAGGAGCATTAGCCAGTTGCCATTAATTATTCTTTAGGGTTATCACTAAGCTGGAGATCTCACAGCTGAGCTATGAGCACTTTGTTTTCCCCTCTCTCTGTGTGGATCATCTTGGCTTCTCCATTGCAGCCCCCAAATGCCAATTCATAGCTGCTAGTCATAGGCTTGCTCCTGTTCTCCAGGAGATAGGAGGCAAGCATAGGATTCTTCGTGAGGTTTTTTTCTAAACAATATCCATTTCCTTTGAAGGGCTAGAAAATATATCCCAAGGTAGTAAACCAGGTGCAAACAAGTTTTAAGCTCTTAGTTGTGGACCAATAACTTTCCAAGACCCCAAGTCCTTGAGCTGTGATACAGACAAAGGCAAATCACACAAACTGGTATGGGTGAGAAAAAAGTGAGATTTCTGCTCCAGCCCAATCCTCCAGACTCCTAGCTTGCATCCTATGTCTCTGAGGGTATCTATGTTGCTACTTAAGAGTCAATCCTAAAGGCCATCCTCAAAGGGTCCAGGCCTTATGAAGCACTCCTCTCTGTCAGTAGCTTACTCTGCAGCTGCTCTACATTAGGCTTCCTTAAATGGAGACTTACTAGGAATTAGCCAGCTCACAACTTCTCTCCTGTTGTGCTTGGCTCTATTTAGGGGCAGTACAGACAGGCTGTGGAATACAAAAAGGCAGGAAGTTGGGAACAGGAAGTTGTGGGATTGCTGCTGATGGACTTTATTTGTATGCAAGCTGCAGTGCTTGGGTGAGTGTTGAGCCTGCTGTAGGGAGGAGTGGGCTGAAGCAAGACTTGACTTGGTCAGTAGATCTGGGCTTAAGGGAGGCCTAAAATAGTAATGCTATCTTCTGCTATTACAGAAATCTGTCTTATTTTCTTTCTGTCCATTGCTGTGTAAAGTATTTTGGGTAGGAGATGGCTCCTGTGAATTAACCAAGTGTGGTATAGCTTGGAGTTTGCATTCCTTTGACGTCTGAAGAATACAGGCCATGGTGTACGGTGGGCTGGTGGACTTCCACCTGTCTTGGTGAACACTGTTCCTAGAGAAGCACTGGAGACCCTTAGCTGTGCACTCTGTCCATGTGCTGGGGTTTCTAGATCTTGTGTGCTTACTTTAAGGGTAAGGGGGGCAACAGTGTCTTGCAATAATACAATAAAGTAATGCAATAACTTCTACTGAACTGCAGCAGCCCTCCCGCTGCTTTGCAGGGAGATGCAAGGTGTCCACTGCAAAACAACCTAACTCCTGTGAGTTTTCTGCCCCTATGAAAATAGGTCTTATTTATTTTAGTAGCCATTTTCCTCCAGCACAATTCTTTGCCATCTGGGGGGTGGCCCTTTCCCACTACAGTATTTTATCAATGGGAATAGCAGCAAACACTTGGAGGGGAGTAGGATCTGCAAAAGAGAAAATGCACTTCAGCACCTCCAGCCTGGTCTGGCTGACATGAAACTGATGGGACACAAGGATTAGAAAAGGTCACGATGCAGTGCAGTCCCATGGAAATATCTCCAGGGCTCATCAAGAAGAAACCCATTCATGTGCTCTCTGCTACATGTTGGTTCTTGTGGCTGAAAGAAGGTGGGGGGAGCCTGGTTTGGGCTAAACTATGCCATCAAGTATCTCACTTATAAGGGCTGACATCTGTCGCTGGAACCATGTCCTCCTGCCTCAGTCATACGTACAGTATTTTTACAAGTCCTTGTACTGCATCAGTGTCATTTTTACTCTTATTTTTTCACTCCAGCCCCACCAGTTACTAACGCAGCCCCCTAGACCTGTACGCAACTGATACATCCATAACTGAGAGAGGCAGCTGCAGTCCAGCATGCCACTCACACCCCACCCACTGCTTGTATTGTTCTGTTTGTAAACCAGAAGTATTTCTAGAGAGCCAATGAATGGCTTGTCTTTCCCTCTACATCTGTATCACTAGCACAGTGGGCAGTTCCTGGGGAATAGAGCGCTATCTCGCTGTAGGCTGTGAATCTATTTTAAATAAAACCAATGTTTTTCTAGTGTCTCGGTGTCTAGTGAAAGAATTATTACGTCTCTGAATGAGGGGGTGCCGTGCTGGGGGGGGGAGGGTCTAGATCCTAATTGGAATTTACCAGGTGTATCCCCTCCTCATGCCTTCGATCAAAGCATACAGGGGCCAAGTGGCTGGGAAGCCACCGTCTTGTGCAGGGAGTGGTGATGGTGGGCCTCTGTGTGGTGCCCTTCCCTCTGTGGGTCAGGGCTGAGTTGATGCCCAGCTGGGCTGCAGCAGCAGCCTGTCAGTTTGCATGAGATCCTGGCTGTTTCAGTGCTGCAGCCCCTGGAGTGCTCTCTAGCCGGAGGAGCAGCTCCCAGCACTATAGGGAAGTACAGGGAGGAGGCAGTGGGTCTGGAGGCCAGCCCCACCTAGGGCATGGTCCAGCTGGCCAGTGCCTTGCTGCATGAACTGTGGTGGGTCTCCGTAATCTTCAGGGCAGCATTCCCACTTCCCTACCCCTGGAGGAGCAGCTGAAGACATGATGCAGCATATGAGTGTGGGGCAGTCCAGGGGCTGGTGCCTTTCTTTAGGGATAGTTCCTGTGCCCTGGCCTGGTGCTTCAGGGGCAATTCAGTGGTGCAAAGGAACTGGGACCTACGTATGCCTTTGCTGGGGACTAACCTGTGTAGGTGTATTGTGGGGACAGGGGAGGTAGTGTGCTTCCTCTGCACAGAGCAGGCCCTGGCTCTGACACCTGCAGCCCTGGCCTCTGGAAGGGCTGTTCCCTGTGCTTGTGAGATGAAGAACCTGAGAGGTGCAACAGGGTGGTGAGTCTTGGTCTCCTGCCCCCACCTCCTGTCTTAACTGCGGGAGGGGAGCCAGCCTTTGCTGGGCTCAAGGAGAAGTAGTCGAGGTCTGTCCTGCCTGGGGCTCCCCCAGCTCAATAGGCAAAAGAACAGCCGAAGCAGGAGCTGCTGAGCGGTGGCACCACAGGAGGGAGGGCAGCTTCTCTGAGC